CTGAGTCGGGCTGAGTATGCTAAACTAGAGAGAGGAGCGCTGGCAAGAGGGCTAGAACTACAACAAGATGGACATATTTGACCGTGATTTAATTGTAATACACGTTTCAAAATGATGCCGAAGTAACAACATACTGATACCGGTTAGTAAAAACCATGAATTAATGCTTTGTCAAGTCTGCAGACAGACGGCAGGCGAAAAACCTTTTAAAATTCGTGTTTTTCTAGATGGAGATTGGCTAAGCTAACGCAGTATATGCCCCGACAGTCCACACTCACAACAACGGCCTATACAGACATAAATAAAGCAGCGACTGTATTCACCATGACACAGGCAGTCTGTGGTGTGTACTTGTTTAACTTTTGTCGAGTTTCTGAACATATATAAGGAGCTGTGAGCTCTGAGTGCTCACAGCTAACGGCTGTGTTGTGTTTCTGGATTTCTCATTGAAGATGACGTCACGGCTCCGCCTACACTGCGTTACTATAGTAACTACCCCAGTTCCTAAACTGTAATGGAAGCGCAGCATGAAGTGAGTCGGCCCTGTTAAGGCCCAACGCGGCCAAGCCGTACCGAGCCGTACCGAGTGTGGCCGAGGCCGACCGTGTAGTGGAAATGCGCCATTAGTCATCTCATTTAGACACTTGTTAGCAACCTCCTTTTTAAATCCACCAGTGGGTAAGTATTTGACGTTGTACTACAAAAAGATCTTCAGCTTGGGTTAACCACAGACCTCATTTCATGCTAACAACCAGGCACGTGCAGAGGATGTTAGAGGGGTAGGAGCCCAAATACTGCACACTGTAATGTGACGGACACATCTTGATAATGTCTGAACTTGAGTTGTTCCTGTAGCTTAAATCACTGATTACTGACACAACTGCAGATGTGGGCGTTGTTACAGAGGGCTGGTAAAACAGGCCTGAAAGTAAGTGTGTGTGTGTGTGTGTGTGTGTGTGTGTGTGTGTGTGTGTGTGTGTGTGTGTGTGTGTGTGTGTGTGTGTGTGTGTGTGTGTGTGTGTGTGTGTGTGTGTGTGTGTGTGTGTGTGTGTGTGTGTGTGTGTGTGTGTGTGTGTGTGTGTGTGTGTGTGTGTGTGTGTGTGTGGTGTGTGTGTGTGTGTGTGTGTGTGTGTGTGTGTGTGTGTGTGTGTGTGTGTGTGTGTGTGTGTGTGTGTGTGTGTGTGTGTGTGTGTGTGTGTGATTTGCCTGCAGCCGGCCTGCTGTATCTCATGATCCGACACCAGCCTTTTCATCCTCCCGCTGTCTCCATGACACCAGAAACACAATGATGGACTCAGGCTCTGAATTACATCCGAGCTAACAGGAAGCGGAGTCTAAATAACGCCCGTAGCAGCAGCTGCAGAATTAAAGGGATAATTATTTGTAAAAGATGTAGTACGGATGTCACAATACCAGAAATGTAGTAGTTGATACCAATACAATTCCTCCATACTGATATGTACTGATACCATGGTGCATACAAACAATCCCATGTACTTGAACGAACAGTATACTGTAAGCATACTGGTTTTTGATAGGAAGTTAAACAGGCCATAATATCTCTTTAATATATATTTTTCATTCAGCATATTTACATAGTTACATATTATTGCAGTCTTTATTCTACCATACAGGATTTAATCCTACTTTCTCTGTCATATTCTATATTTATGAATATATCTTTCTTGCCCCATCTTCTCTTTTGCACAATTGTATTTCCTTTACGTTTAGTATACTGTATGTTGCATTGCTGGAGGACACTGGGTCTTCAGATTATCATTGCCACAATGACACTGTAACTGTTTGGCATTTGAAAACAACACCTTTTATATTGCTGTGAAAACATCTCCGACAAACAACTCGATTCATTCAAGTTGCTGAACGTATTTTACTGAAATACGTCATTGCATTCTGGGTATAGTTAGCCGTTTTCGTTTGTCTATTTTTGTACTTTCTTTCTCTAAAACATACTTAACTGGAACTATAAAATGAGCATCTGAAGAGGCTATCCTTCCTGCTTTTCTCCAGGTGAGAGTACCTCTGCACCCGCTGGTTGTTGCAGCATTTCTTGATCCTACAAAAGTAACTAAAGTACTAAACAATGTGTGTGTGTGTGTGTGTGTGTGTGTGTGTGTGTGTGTGTGTGTGTGTGTGTGTGTGTGTGTGTGTGTGTGTGTGTGTGTGTGTGTGTGTGTGTGTGTGTGTGTGTGTGTGTGTGTGTGTGTGTGTGTGTGTGTGTGTGTGTGTGTGTGTGTGTGTGTGTGTGTGTGTGTGTGTGTGTGTGTGTGTGTGTGTGTGTGTGTGTGTGTGTGTGTGTGTGTGTGTGTGTGTGTGTGTGGTGTGTGTGTGTGTGGTGATGTGTGTGTGTGTGTGTGTGTGGTGTGTGTGTGTGTGTGTGTGTGTGTGTGTGTGTGTGTGTGTGTGTGTGTGTGTGTGTGATGGAGCGAGGGCACAACCAGAAGACACCTCTTTGCTCTCGATTGAATTGATCTGTTCAGGTGTCAACAAATAGCTGTATCTCAGCAGTGTCATATTTTAGAGGAAGTGTGTGTTAACATTTCTTAGCTCACATCAGGCTTTGGCGGTGTTGACCTCCTTCTTTATGACAATGTACTGAACAATCAACATCAGTGAAACCACCACTGATTGTTTGACATTTTATCCTGAACATCTACAGTATTGTGTACCATGTGACATCAAGAGGACAGGTGTGAGAAGGGTCCGGCAGTTTCAGTAAACCTCGATGTGCAGACTTGTTATCATCAGTCATTCGTAGCATAAGGGCGGCTAAAAATGACACTGCAATCATGACACAGCTGATTTCCACCCAGTCTTTCTGTAGAAATAGCATATTGCTTTGTTGGCTGGAAAGATAAACAACTAGCAGAAACTACCATATCCGGTTGGTTGGTCATTACGTGGAATTTGACTAGGGACTTGACTTTTGACTTGTTGGTCTTGGCTTCTGACTTGTTGGTCTTGGCTTCTGACTTGTTGGTCTTGGCTTCTGACTTGTTGGTCTTGGCTTTTGACTTGTTGATCTTGGCTTCTGACTTGTTGGTCTTGGCTTCTGACTTGTTGGTCTTGGCTTCTGACTTGTTGGTCTTGGCTTCTGACTTGTTGATCTTGGCTTCTGACTTGTTGGTCTTGGCTTCTGACTTGTTGATCTTGGCTTCTGACTTGTTGGTCTTGGCTTCTGACTTGTTGATCTTGGCTTCTGACTTGTTAATCTTGGCTTCTGACTTGTTGATCTTCACTTCTGACTTGTTGATCTTGGCTTTCAACTTGTTGGTCTTGGCTTCTGACTTGTTGATCTTGGCTTCTGACTTGTTGATCTTGGCTTCTGACTTGTTGGTCTTGGCTTCTAACTTGTTGATCTTGGCTTCTGACTTGTTGATCTTGGCTTCTGACTTGTTGGTCTTGGCTTCTGACTTGTTGGTCTTGGCTTCTGACTTGTTGGTCTTGGCTTCTGACTTGTTGATCTTCACTTCTGACTTGTTGATCTTGGCTTTCAACTTGTTGGTCTTGGCTTCTGACTTGTTGGTCTTGGCTTCTGACTTGTTGGTCTTGGCTTCTGACTTGTTGGTCTTGGCTTCTGACTTGTTGGTCTTGGCTTCTGACTTGTTGATCTTCACTTCTGACTTGTTGATCTTGGCTTTCAACTTGTTGGTCTTGGCTTCTGACTTGTTGGTCTTGGCTTCTGACTTGTTGGTCTTGGCTTTTGACTTGTTGGTCTTGGCTTTTGACTTGTTGGTCTTGGCTTTTGACTTGTTGATCTTGGCTTCTGACTTGTTGGTCTTGGCTTCTGACTTGTTGATCTTGGCTTCTGACTTGTTGGTCTTGGCTTTTGACTTGTTGATCTTGGCTTCTGACTTGTTGGTCTTGGCTTCTGACTTGTTGGTCTTGGCTTCTGACTTGTTGGTCTTGGCTTCTGACTTGTTGGTCTTGGCTTCTGACTTGTTGGTCTTGGCTTTTGACTTGTTGGTCTTGGCTTTTGACTTGTTGATCTTGGCTTCTGACTTGTTGGTCTTGGCTTCTGACTTGTTGGTCTTGGCTTCTGACTTGTTGGTCTTGGCTTCTGACTTGTTGGTCTTGGCTTCTGACTTGTTGGTCTTGGCTTTTGACTTGTTGATCTTGGCTTCTGACTTGTTGGTCTTGGCTTCTGACTTGTTGGTCTTGGCTTCTGACTTGTTGGTCTTGGCTTCTGACTTGTTGGTCTTGGCTTTTGACTTGAACTGGAATTGGCAGTTTTTTTTGTCCCGACTCGAAAGCTTTGTTTTTTTTGGGGACTTGACTAGGACATGTTGGCCTTGATTTGGCATTTATTGTTCTGGACTTGAAACTTTTCACTTCTGTCTCGGGACTTGGCACTTTTTTAGTCCCGACTTGAACATTTTTGGTTCTCTATTGGGACTTGACTATGACTTATTGATTTTGAATTGGGCATTGGTGGACTTGACTTAGGACTTGTTGTTCTTGCCTTTTGACTTGAACTGGAATTGACACTTTATTAGTCTTTACTTGAAACGTTTTGGTTCTCTGTTGGGACTTGACTAAAACTTGTTGGCCTTTACTTGGAACTTTTTGGTCATGACTTGGGACTTGACTATGTGTTGTTGGTCTTGACTTGTGTCTTATATTGTTACTTGTTTGACCTAAATTGGCACTTTTTAGTGTTGACTTGGACTTTTCTTGACTGAAAACTTCATGATCTCAAGTTTGGTATCGATTTAGAGCTTGTGCTTCACGTGGGACTTGTTAGTATTGACTCAGACTCTTTTCCTCCACAGCTCTACAATATAATAGTTTGTAGTGCAGTACGAGCAGTTAAAGTACTTTATGTTGTTCCATTTAACTTTTAGATTCACATTTTGTGTTTTTGTTCAGATATGAGAAGCATTCATTCAGACTCCGCCTCCCGTTCCTTCTTTTTCTTTTCCCGTTTCTCCTCCTCTCCTCCCGTTTCTGCAGCCTGTTGCTCTCTCTATCAGGCGCTCAGTGAAGCAACACACTCTGCTATAAATACCCGTCTCGTATCTGCTGCCGTCTGTATTCACACACTGAACCTGGAGGACCCTCAGATCCACTGGATTCATTTCCTGCACGGCTTTTCAAACTCTCCTTCTGGACGAGGGTTTTTTGAACGTCTGATTTGACCCCGGTGCGCTGTGTTTTGGACGGAGAAGCTATGGGAGACTATTGGGGCGAAATAGCCAGTGAGAGGGTGTCCCGAGCCATGTCCCTGGTATGTATCTGCTTTGAAAGAAACAACACTTTCTGTCACATGTTAGCAGTAAATCAGAATCAGTTTTATTACCAAGTTTTGTGTAAATGGTGCGAACAAAGACACAGAAAGCAGAATATGTTGTTGTTGTTTTTAGCAATAAAGATGCAACATATACATATGTGAGAAAGTGAGTACAGTAAAATAGTTGTGCAGGATTTACAGTGTTAAGAAGAACAGAGTGTGGTAGCAGGAGGGAAAGTGTGTGGTGATGAAGTGAGAGACAGACGGTGTTGTGGTAATGACTGTCATGTTGTAATTCATCTGGCTCGTAAACATTTGAGGAAATGAGGCGGTTAAACAGGAAAAGGAGATCTGCAAACACGCTGCCTCTGAACTCGCAGGCAGATATCATGTCTTTTCTGTAGCACAACATACCAAAGAAATAAGCTTGTATTTTCTCCAAAGGCGGCTCCTACCCTACACACCAGGTCCCTACACACCAGACCCCGACACACCAGACCCCTACACACCAGACCCCTACACACCAGACCCCTACACACCAGACCCCGACACACCAGACCCCTACACACCAGACCCCTACACACCAGACCCCTACACACCAGACCCCTACACACCAGGTCCAATTATAGAGTCTTTTGGTGAAATAACGGAATACAGGGTTAACATTTTTTTAATCGATTGGTTTTTGGACAAATAGAAAAGGCAGCTAATATAGACATTTCATTTATTTAAGATACTTTTTTAGTTTAATTTAAACTTGCTTTACTGTGATTAAAGAGATCAACATTACTCCTAAGAGACTATTATTAACCTTTTGTAATCATTTGTATAATTATATAAAAAAACATAAAGAGGACATATTCAATATAAAAAAATATATAATAGAAAACGTATCCTGCTGATGTTCAGGTGTATATCAGTATGTAGTGTCTCTACTTTAAAGAGTCCTCTCCTGCTGATGTTCAGGTGTATATCAGTATGTAGTGTCTCTACTTTAAAGAGTCCTCTCCTGCTGATGTTCAGGTGTATATCAGTATGTAGTGTCTCTACTTTAAAGAGTCCTCTCCTGCTGATGTTCAGGTGTATATCAGTATGTAGTGTCTCTACTTTAAAGAGTCCTCTCCTGCTGATGTTCAGGTGTATATCAGTATGTAGTGTCTCTACTTTAAAGAGTCCTCTCCTGCTGATGTTCAGGTGTATATCAGTATGTAGTGTCTCTACTTTAAAGAGTCCTCTCCAGCTGATGTTCAGGTGTACATCAGTATGTAGTGTCTCTACTTTAAAGAGTCCTCTCCAGCTGATGTTCAGGTGTATATCAGTATGTAGAGTCTCTACTTTAAAGAGTCCTCTCCTGCTGATGTTCAGGTGTACATCAGTATGTAGTGTCTCTACTTTAAAGAGTCCTCTCCTGCTGATGTTCAGGTGTACATCAGTATGTAGTGTCTCTACTTTAAAGAGTCCTCTCCTGCTGATGTTCAGGTGTATATCAGTATGTAGTGTCTCTACTTTAAAGAGTCCTCTCCTACTGATGTTCAGGTGTATATCAGTATGTAGTGTCTCTACTTTAAAGAGTCCACTCCTGCTGATGTTCAGGTGTATATCAGTATGTAGTGTCTCTACTTTAAAGAGTCCTCTCCTACTGATGTTCAGGTGTATATCAGTATGTAGTGTCTCTACTTTAAAGAGTCCTCTCCTACTGATGTTCAGGTGTATATCAGTATGTAGTGTCTCTACTTTAAAGAGTCCTCTCCTGCTGATGTGCAGGTGTATATCAGTATGTAGTGTCTCTACTTTAAAGAGTCCTCTCCTGCTGATGTTCAGGTGTATATCAGTATGTAGTGTCTCTACTTTAAAGAGTCCTCTCCTGCTGATGTTCAGGTGTATATCAGTATGTAGTGTCTCTACTTTAAGAGTCCTCTCCTGCTGATGTTCAGGTGTATATCAGTATGTAGTGTCTCTACTTTAAAGAGTCCTCTCCTACTGATGTTCAGGTGTATATCAGTATGTAGTGTCTCTACTTTAAAGAGTCCTCTCCTGCTGATGTTCAGGTGTATATCAGTATGTAGTGTCTCTACTTTAAAGAGTCCTCTCCTACTGATGTTCAGGTGTATATCAGTATGTAGTGTCTCTACTTTAAAGAGTCCTCTCCTGCTGATGTTCAGGTGTATATCAGTATGTAGTGTCTCTACTTTAAAGAGTCCACTCCTGCTGATGTTCAGGTGTATATCAGTATGTAGTGTCTCTACTTTAAAGAGTCCTCTCCCTGCTGATGTTCAGGTGTATATCAGTATGTAGTGTCTCTACTTTAAAGAGTCCTCTCCTACTGATGTTCAGGTGTATATCAGTATGTAGTGTCTCTACTTTAAAGAGTCCTCTCCTGCTGATGTGCAGGTGTATATCAGTATGTAGTGTCTCTACTTTAAAGAGTCCTCTCCTGCTGATGTTCAGGTGTATATCAGTATGTAGTGTCTCTACTTTAAAGAGTCCTCTCCTGCTGATGTTCAGGTGTATATCAGTATGTAGTGTCTCTACTTTAAAGAGTCCTCTCCTGCTGATGTTCAGGTGTATATCAGTATGTAGTGTCTCTACTTTAAAGAGTCCTCTCCTACTGATGTTCAGGTGTATATCAGTATGTAGTGTCTCTACTTTAAAGAGTCCTCTCCTGCTGATGTTCAGGTGTATATCAGTATGTAGTGTCTCTACTTTAAAGAGTCATCTCCTGCTGATGTTCAGGTGTATATCAGTATGTAGTGTCTCTACTTTAAAGAGTCCTCTCCTGCTGATGTTCAGGTGTATATCAGTATGTAGTGTCTCTACTTTAAAGAGTCCTCTCCTACTGATGTTCAGGTGTATATCAGTATGTAGTGTCTCTACTTTAAAGAGTCCTCTCCTGCTGATGTTCAGGTATATATCAGTATGTAGTGTCTCTACTTTAAAGAGTCCTCTCCTGCTGATGTTCAGGTGTATATCAGTATGTAGTGTCTCTACTTTAAAGAGTCCTCTCCTGCTGATGTTCAGGTGTATATCAGTATGTAGTGTCTCTACTTTAAAGAGTCCTCTCCTGCTGATGTTCAGGTGTATATCAGTATGTAGTGTCTCTACTTTAAAGAGTCATCTCCTGCTGATGTTCAGGTGTATATCAGTATGTAGTGTCTCTACTTTAAAGAGTCCTCTCCTGCTGATGTTCAGGTGTATATCAGTATGTAGTGTCTCTACTTTAAAGAGTCCTCTCCTGCTGATGTTCAGGTGTATATCAGTATGTAGTGTCTCTACTTTAAAGAGTCCTCTCTTGCTGATGTTCAGGTGTATATCAGTATGTAGTGTCTCTACTTTAAAGAGTCCTCTCCTGCTGATGTTCAGGAAGTCAAAGGCAGTGTATTTGAATGGACTGAGGTTAATCGCTGCTGGTGAGGATTTAGAGCCAGATTTGATCAGATTCCTCTGGGACACTTTTTATTTTTAGCCTCTTTTCAAACTGAGCGTATCGACCACATTATCGACCACATTATCTCCCCGAGGCATTTCCTTCTGCAGTCAATACCTTCTTTGTTTTATGTTCTATATTTTCTCCGCTGCACGTCTTACTCGGGTTTCAGAAAGCTTCTAAACCATTGACTATCAGATGGGATTTGTAAAACCGTTTGTCTTATATTTATTCTCACACTTTTTGTTTGTAGCACTTATCATCAAGTTATTCTTCACATATCTTTGGACATTTTGAACAGATCTTTCTTGAATATCTCAATGATTTTTTTCACATATTTTTTCTTATATTTATTTGACAATTTCCCCATCTTTCTTGGATTTATTTAGCTTTTTTTTTTTTACAATCTGCCATTACTTTTTAAGAATGTAGGTTTAGAAAACGCCTGTCCAGCTTTTTCGTTCAAAAATAATTATTCCAAGTTTAATTTTCCGTGTGTCCGTCTGTGTGTGTGTGCAGGGAAACGATGAGGAGGCGGTGCTGGACCAGGGGAATACCAGCTCCACCCTCTACACCAACTTTGAGAAGGAAGAACTGGAGAGTGAGACACACACACACACACACACACACACACACACACACACACACACACACACACTCTGATACACTAAATACAGTGGTGCAGGCATGTCATATTTCTGTGTAGGACCCTGAAGGCAGCATCTCCCTGGTCCAATGGGATTTCTCCGTCTGATTTTGGATTATGTCCGAAAATAATCTCTGGTTCAAACAAACGTTTATGATTCTTACACGTTTAGTTCAGCAGGATAATCTCCACATATTAACACCACTTTAGGATTTCTGAAGTAAACATTTAAAACGTTGGGCTATAAAGGAACTACAGCACGGTCACATGACTTCACGTCTCCACCGCTAAGCTAAAGGTGGCTAATGTTGGGCTATAAAGGAACTACAGCACGGTCACATGACTTCACGTCACCACCGCTAAGCTAAAGGCGGCTAATGTTGGACTATAGAGGAACTACAGCACGGTCACATGTCTTCACGTCACCACCGCTAAGCTAAAGGAGGCTAATGTTGGGCTATAAACTAACTACAGCACGGTCACATGACTTCACGTCACCACCGCTAAGCTAAAGGTGGCTAATGTTGGGCTATAAAGGAACTACAGCACGGTCACATGACTTCACGTCACCACCGCTAAGCTAAAGGCGGCTAATGTTGGACTATAGAGGAACTACAGCACGGTCACATGTCTTCACTTCACCACCGCTAAGCTAAAGGAGGCTAATGTTGGGCTATAAACTAACTACAGCACGGTCACATGACTTCACGTCACCACCGCTAAGCTAAAGGCGGCTAATGTTGGGCTCTAAAGGAACTGTTAGCAACCTCTGTTTTTAAATCCACCAGTGGGATATTTACTGAAGTATTTGATATCGTAGAACAAAGCGTGAAACTTCATTTCAGGATAACAACCAAAAACACATTCAGAAAACCGTTGACCTCCAGATGAGTTAACCAGAAGTGCGAAAATGCTGAGTCATGTCAGGGTTTGGGACTCATTCCCGCCCCTCTGTCTTCCCCCTGCAGGTCACAGAGCCGTGTACGTGGGCGTCCATGTTCCTCTGGGTCGAGAGACTCGCCGGCGGCACCGTCACCGAGGACACCGACATCACAGGAAACGCAGGGGCCGCTCCGACCGGGAGGACGGGCGAGAGTCGCCGTCAAACGGTGCGTCCAGTATTTAAACAAACACACACACACACATATTTTCTCTGCATTTATTTACACAAATATTATTGTCTGATTTGTATTTAATTAAATTATTATTATTTTTTAATATTATTTCAGACTTTCTCTTGACTTCTTCAACTCAACTGAGTGTTTTTTAACTTATTTTCTCTGATATTTATTCAACAATATTCACATATTTTTGGACTTCTTTCCTGGATTTATTTGGTTGTTTTTCTTAACATATTCTCAGACATTTTCCACATATTTTTTCTTACATTGTTCACACATCTATTTGACATTTAAAATAAAAACTCTTTTCACATATTTCCTCTGAAATACTGTGACATTATGTTCCTGCAGACACGCCGTCCCAGAGGCTGCAGTTAGACATGCTCATTGTTATTTAAATGTATTATCTGACTATTTTGACACATCTTTCCTTGACACAATTTTCACATATTTCCTGACATTGCTCGCTCATTTAGTTGACGAAATATAGTATATTTTCTGACATTATTCAGACTTTTTTCACATATTTCCTGCAGACACGCCGTCCCAGAGGGTGCAGTTCATCCTGGGGACGGAGGACGGAGACGAGGAGCACATTCCCCACGACCTGTTCACCGAACTGGACGAGATCACCTTCAGAGACGGAGACTTCCAGGAGTGGAAGGAGACGGCCAGGCGAGGACACACTCTTTCATTTACACGACTTTATTCACATGTACACTGCAGTGTCATGGATTAACTCCTATAATATCTGATTTATTTCATGATTGAAATCAGAATTGGAATCAGGTTCATTGCCAAGTAGACATTAAAGTTTGCTTTGATGTGTAAGTGAGGGATAATGTGCAGCGAGGCGGTCATTAATGAAAACCCACGCTGGGTGTTTTTTTCTCATGAGCAGGATCCCCATGCTTATTACACAGCCACATACTAAATAAATCAATGTTAGATAATGTTAATTGAAAAGGATTTTATTGATTTAAAAATGATAGATAACTATTATTAAGAAAACTATAATAACATTAAAAAATATAGTAAAATATAGCAGTATTTATATTGAAATAGAAAAAAAGTTAAGTTCTGAGAAAGTGTAATTCTGAGTAATAAGCGAAATTTAGAGTAAGAAAATAAAATTTGGACAAAAAAAAGATTCTGACAAAAAAGTCAAATATTGAGTAAAAAAATCTAAATCTGACAAAAAAACTAATTATAAGAAAAAAATCTAATTCTGACCAAAAAACTAATTATAAGAAAAAAATCTAATTATGACCAAAAAGTGAAAATCGGAGAAAAAAGTGAAATCTTAAAAAACTCAAATTCTTATAAAACTCAAAATCGGAGAAAAATTTCGAGTAAGAAAATCAATTCTGACAAAAAAAGTAGTAATTTCCTCTAAAATCACCAAAACGCCTCTTTTCAGAATCAGGTTTATCTCCAGGTAGGTTTACACGTACGAGGAATTTGACTTGGTGTCGTGAAAGTAAAACAAAAATTAAAAACACAGATAGAGAACTATTTTAAGAACACTATAAAAACATAAAAAAATAATAAAGAATATAGTAAAATATAGTAAAATATAGCAGTATTTACATAGAAATAGAATGGAATAAAATATGTGCAGTAATAAAACATAAATGTCCTTAAACCCTGCAGAGCCCAGTCAGTTTACTACAGAGGGAGAAATAAGAATATTCAGCCTGGATAAGAAAATAAATACTAAGAGTTGCATTTCACCTGTGCTGCGTCATACGATACGATAAAGCATTTCAGATCAAGTCTGAAATGCTCCTTGCATCCCAGCAGCTCCGTGTGTAACATCACAGCAGCTCCGTGTGTAACATCCCAGCAGCTCCGTGTGTAACATCACAGCAGCTCCGTGTGTAACATCACAGCAGCTCCGTGTGTAACATCACAGCAGCTGCGTGTGTAACATCCCAGCAGCTCCGCGTGTAACATCACAGCAGCTCCGCGTGTAACATCACAGCAGCTCCGCGTGTAACATCCCAGCAGCTCCGCGTGTAACATCACAGCAGCTCCGCGTGTAACATCCCAGCAGCTCCGCGTGTAACATCACAGCAGCTCCGCGTGTAACATCACAGCAGCTCCGCGTGTAACATCCCAGCAGCTCCGCGTGTAACATCCCAGCAGCTCCGCGTGTAACATCCCAGCAGCTCCGCGTGTAACATCCCAGCAGCTCCGCGTGTAACATCCCAGCAGCTGCGCGTGTAACATCCCAGCAGCTCCGCGTGTAACATCCCAGCAGCTGCGCGTGTAACATCCCAGCAGCTCCGCGTGTAACATCCCAGCAGCTCCGCGTGTAACATCCCGGCAGCTCCGCGTGTAACATCCCAGCAGCTCCGCGTGTGAACATCCCAGCAGCTCCGCGTGTAACATCCCAGCAGCTCCGCGTGTAACATCCCAGCAGCTCCGCGGTGTAACATCACAGCAGCTGCGCGTGTAACATCCAGCAGCTGCGCGTGTAACATCCCAGCAGCTCCGCGTGTAACATCCCAGCAGCTCCGCGTGTAACTCCCAGCGCTCCGCGTGTAACATCCCAGCAGCTCCGCGTGTAACATCCCAGCAGCTCTGCGTGTAACATCACAGCAGCTCCGCGTGTAACATCCCAGCAGCTCCGCGTGTAACATCACAGCAGCTCCGCGTGTAACATCACAGCAGCTCCGCGTGTAACATCCCAGCAGCTGCGCGTGTAACATCACAGCAGCTCCGCGTGTAACATCACAGCAGCTCCGCGTGTAACATCACAGCAGCTCCGCGTGTAACATCACAGCAGCTCCGCGTGTAACATCCCAGCAGCTCCGCGTGTAACATCACAGCAGCTCCGCGTGTAACATCAACAGACACATGAACAACAAACAACAAACATGGAACATAACAGCAGGATCAGTGAGAGCTGCTCAAAGAGCCTTCAGCGTGATCTGATCTGGATTCAGAATCAGAAAACCTGTATTAGTCCCACAGAGGGGAAATGTATGTTGTTACAGCAGAAAAAGAGCCAAAGACAGCTTAATGTTACATATGTTACATATATATATATACTTTTTGATGTCTTCTCTACATCACCATGTGTCCCCGGTGTGTCAGGAGACTCACTAAGTGATGTCTTCTCTTCATCACCATGTGTCCCCGGTGTGTCAGGAGACTCACTAAGTGATGTCTTCTCTACATCACCATGTGTCCCCGGTGTGTCAGGAGACTCACAAAGTGATGTCTTCTCTACATCACTATGTGTCCCCGGTGTGTCAGGAAATAAACCCCTCTCTCTTTTCCTCCGTACCCACATCTCTAAAAACGGGGGAACAACGGAGCTGATCCAGATTTGCTGCGTCATGACCACATTACTAAAATGTGGGCGGGCTTTAAACCCACGGGCCTATCAGAAAGGTTGCTGTCAGAAACAACGAGACGTGTTCTGGAAGTAATATGGTCTGTGTTTACATTAGCATGCTAACACTCAGAGCTAACCTGTACTGGAGAGAGCATGTGTGAAGAAGCAGGAAATCAAAAGGAAGTCACCTTGTGGTAAACCTGAGAGAGAGAAAGAGTTTGAGCTCCATACTGTTTCAGAGAGAATCCTTCATGTGGTTTGGAACATGATATGGAGTTTCATCACGGCAGCATTTAACTTTATCTCCGGTAGAATTCTGAGCAGGCATTAGCTCCGCCTCCTCTATTTTCAATCTACTGACCCAGAATCAGCACTTTAGTAACAGGGCTGGAATAGAGGGATATGAGGACATCATAGACATGTTTTTTTATATATTTGTATATATCTGAAAGCCATAGTATATGCCTAAAAACAGCATGATAGGGGACCTTTAAAGATGTCATGTGAAGGTAAATCTGTGCGGTGTTTCCAGGTGGCTGAAGTTCGAGGAGGACGTGGAGGACGGGGGCGAGCGCTGGAGTAAACCCTACGTGGCGACGCTGTCTCTCCACAGCCTGTTCGAGCTGCGCTCCTGCATCCTGCACGGCACCGTGCTGCTGGACATGAGGGCGAGCGGCATCGAGGAGATCGCAGGTCTCTCAAACACACCCTGCACATAGTTCTCAGAGTTTGTTTTATTTACTCGAAATTTCACTTTTTATTTCAGAATTTGATTTTTCTTTCTTAGAATTAGACTTTTTTTTTAAATGTTTACTTTTACTCGAAATGTCACTTTCTTTTCAGAATTTGATATTTTCTCAGAATTGTATTTGCAGACATCCAGAGCCCAAACCCTGCCGCCTGCATTCATAAAACACTCGGGTTAAATATGCATACATTTGACTATATATTTTATTACTTTTTAATGTTATTATAGTTTTCTTAAAATAGTTCTCTGTCTGTGTTTTACATTTTTTGTCAGTTTGTTTTTTTGTCAGTTTGATTTTTTGTCAGTTTGATTTTTTGTCAGTTTGGTTTTTTGTCAGTTTGGTTTTTTTACTCGAAATTTCACTTTTTACTCAGATTTGGACTTTCTTTCAAAATGTCACTCTTTTACTCTAATTTTCACTTTTTTCAGAATTTGTTATTTTCTCAGAATTTGATATTTTCTCAGAATTTGTTATTTTCTCATAATTTGTTATTTTCTCAGAATTTGATATTTTCTCAGAATTGTATTTGCAGACATCCAGAGCCCAAACCCTGCCGCCTGCATTCATAAAACACTCAGGTTAAATATGCATACATTTTACTATATTTTGTATTTCTTTTTTGTGTTATTATAGTTTTCTTAAAATAGTTCCAAGTCAAAACACAGGGATTTTAGTGTCTGCAGACCATTGACATGCACTAAAACCTCTAGAACACTACAGGAGAGGGAACAGCACAGACACCGAAAGCAGGGCCTCTTTAAGTGATGACTAAGGCCAGAGATCTGGACCAGTCTCTCTGAGTATCTCTTGGTGTTAAAGCAGATTTGAACGCGTCTCCTCTCTACAGACAGGGTGATTGACAGCATGCTGGCGTCGGGTCAGCTGGAGGAGGCGGTCAGGGAGAAGGTGAAGGAGACCATGATGCGGCGCCACCACCATCAGAGCGAGAAGAAGCTGAGCAACCGCATCCCGCTGGTCCGCTCCTTCGCCGACATCGGAAAGAAACACTCCGACACTCATCTGCTGGAGCGAAACGGTGAGCATTGATTGGAGAAGTTCCAAGTCGTCCATCTTTGGAGGATACTAGAAACCTCACCTGTTGATTTGAAACGGGTAATATGGCAGGATACGTACATCTGCTGGAGCGAAACGGTGAGGGCTTCTGTTCCTCTGCAGGTCTGAAGACGTACAGTGGGGCGTGGAGTCAGTCAGGAGTCCTGCTTCGTTGATGTAGAGCAGCGGTTCCCTACCTTCTTGGTCTCGTGTACCCCTTGAGCTGGTCTCCATTCTATAAGAACCCCCTCACTCGTCTGTGAGGGTTTGCCAACATTTGTTCCTGTATTAAACCCTTCGTAATCATTTTCAACCCAACTGCTCCTTGGATGAAAATCACTTGCATAACTCACCCTTAATACAAATGCATTTAAACTTGACATTTATACTCATTGTCAGTGAAAATAATAATATTAAGACTCACTTCTAGCAGTTTCAACATCTGTTGTTAAGACTAGAGCTTTTAATGACACCTTTGAGCTGGTCTTTCATAAGCTTTGATAGTTCTGGGGGCGGGACACCAGGCTTATGAAAATTGATACCCTCCCTAATCTTTCTACGTACCCCCTGCAAACTCTTCAAGTTCCCCCAGGGGTCCCCGTACCCCCGGTTGGGAACCACTGAGTAGAGGAATCATTGATTGGATGAAATACAGGAACCACTACACTGGGAATAGGATTTTGAACAGTTCATATTTCAGTATCCGTACAGATACTGGGAGATTAGTTACGCATGATGAACCAACGTTTTGTTAGCTCTCAGTTAGCATAGCATTAGCTGTCTTACCTCGGTCCGGATGACTCTATAGTCATTAAACCTGTAACTCTGAGGTCCTGACGTTAGCCTCCAGATATTTATAATATGTTTAAATTGCCGGCAGGTGTAGAGACTAACTAACAGCAGAGAGGACAGACAGCATTCACAGTGATCGTTCTTCTCTTAATTCATACGGACAGATGTCATTCATTCTGCCCAGAGCTTCTCTTTGGAAGAGAGTTTATATTTCCTGCTTCCCTTTATTCCTTTCGGACGCAAACAGCTGACTGATGACCGGGAAAACTCTGAGATATATTGACGGCCGTCGTTGCTGTTTCTATACCGCTGTTCCCATTCCCTATTGATTCATAAACCAAACAATACACATACAATGGGAGTAATAGAGATGTGTTCTAACCGATTCTGGACAAATGTCAGAATATAATTATCAGGTCGTGTTCAATGAAACGTAGAATCAGATGTTGACATATTTTCTACTTCTCTTCATAATCCAGTTGCTCTGCCTCTCGTGGTTTTTTGTTTCTAAGAACTCCTTCAGTGTTTTTTGGTTTGCTGATTGGTCGAGGTAACGGTGTGACCAGAAGGCGGGGTCTCTGATTGGTGCATCGTGTCGTAGAGACTCCAGGGGGGTCCAAACTGTTTTCACCGAGGGCCACATACAGAAAAACATACAAAGGGCTGGGCCGCTCACTAGAGGTGCATCGCCTCATAAGTGAAGTTATAAGTTAGCAACATCAGTCAAATGTGGGTCAGTGATGCTCGAACATGCTTTAAGAATAAACCTGCATTTAGTTGGCAGCTCATTAAAACAGAAGCAGATGAAATATGAAGGGCATATTTCAAGCTTGTTAAGGAAATCAGTTATTGTGCTTTTTTTATCAACTAAGATTTGTTTGAAAATGTTTTCAACTTCATTTGAAAGAATCTATTTGAAAAGTGGGCTTTTCGAGTGGGTCGCGGACCCGTTTAGAGTGGGTCGCGGGCCCGTTTCGAGTGGGTCGCGGGGTCGCGGACCCGTTTCGAGTGGGTCGCGGACCCGTTTCGAGTGGGTCGCGGGCCCGTTTCGAGTGGGTTGCGGGGTCGCTGACCCGTTTCGAGTGGGTCGCGGACCCGTTTCGAGTGGGTCGCGGGCCCGTTTCGAGTGGGTCGCGGACCCGTTTCGAGTGGGTCGCGGGGTCGCGGACCCGTTTCGAGTGGGTCGCGGATCCGTTTCGAGTGGGTCGCGGATCCGTTTCGAGTGGGTCGCGGATGTGTGAGTGAACAAATAAAAGTTTTTCAAACTTTTATTTTGAAGGACCGTGAAAAACAAACAATGGCAGAAAATATTATGAATATGTCGGGTATTAATAGATGTATTTATTTTCTTCTCAGAGTGTACCAGGATGCGTAGTTCATATGTTGGTATAGAATCCCCTCAGACCCCCTGCTGGGGTTTTCAGCAGGTCTGCCTTTTTATGTCAGTTCAGCTTTGATTCCTCTCATTAAACCTTTAAAGCGTTCTTTAGTTCTGTGAAGGGATATGAGGGATATGTGCACTGTACTTCACTTCCATTAATATTGTATGCTGAAAAGCGTATATATATATATATATATATATATATTACAGCACGACTTTTTGTTGAATAGATTTGACTGGTTCAAAATGTTGGGTCTTGATTTATTGACAAAGGAAAGCGTCCCGAGGACCAGCATCTTCTCACTTTAGCATCGTTCACTCCGGCTCCTCTTCCTCCTCCTCTCACCTACTCCTCCTCTCACCTCCTCTCACCCCCACAGAGGAAGATGATGATGGTGATGATGATGATGAAGAGGAGCAGCTGTTTCCTGTCAGTTTCTCAGGCATATCAGAGTCATTGTGTCCTCACTGAGAAAAAGGAAGTGACGTGACGCTGACATCATCTGAGAGTTTCACAACCTTGATGTAATGTTTGTTTACAAGGCGGGATATGAACGGTGCCCACTGCAGTTTGTTTGGTGAGTTCAGGCGGATCAGACCTGATGTGGAAATGAATGAACAATAATCTCTAGATGTCGGCAAGTAGTTTTGATCGTTAAGTGAAATACTATATTGTTCAGTTCCACGGGGGACTGCATGTGTTGAGACCCTGATCAGGGGTGTTGAACTCGAGGCCCTTCACTTCAGGTGGCCCCTCAAGAGCTTGTAAAGAATGTAATATGTTTATTATACGGTTACAGGCCGATTTACAGAAGCACGTGTAACCGTACAAAAACTACATGTCCAGAATTTGGCTTTTCTTTTCAATCATTTTGTGATATTCTCACTGAAGAGACTTGCAATGATTTGCCCCAGACTTCTGCTTTCAGACGTAGTTCATTATGAAGTTATTACCCTATCCCATAATAATCCATTGCAGAGGCAATAATGTAATATAATACATTATTCAATATATATTAAATATTTATAAATGTATTTTTATAGAGTCTTAAAGGTCCCGTGTCATGGCAATTTCTACTGATCATAGTTCCATTGTTGAGGTCTACTAGAATAGATTGGTTTCTCATACAGCATCTCTGTAGAGTATGTGTATTCACTCTCTGTCCTACACGGCTTGTTGGAGCTCCTGCCCCCCCCCCCCTCCCTGTGAGCCCAGTGTGCTCTGATTGGTCGGGACGTTGCGAGGCTCGTTGCTGCGAGGAGCGGACAGGTTTCCGGGTCTGCGATACAGCGAGAACAAGCGAAACTCATCCTGAGCACACACAAACACTCACAGCCGAAGTAAAAACAATAAGTGTGGCTTGATATTGAGTAAGAGGTTTCTAACGCTGTGAGAATGGGTCTGCAGAGAGCATTTCTCCACCATCCCAACTCGTCTATTACCAGCGTTCAGGGAGCTCTATGCAAGTCAATGGGGACTCCCTGTTAGTTAGCCAAGGGATCCTGGTGTGTGAGGTGCTCCACTGATTGGTCCATTTGGGCCAATCCGGTCATTTGTTGTTGATCCTGGTGTTCACACGTCACAGAACCCAGGAAGTAAACTATGGAACATGAGAAATCCCCAACGAGGCGTTCTGGGGCAGCAGAGACAGGTCTGCTCTGTGTTAGAGTTTTACTCTCTACAGGGTGCACTTTGAGGGTTTGAGACTCTGCAGACCGTTCACATGCAGAAGCTTCAGAACACAAGGGGACGGGTAAGAACCAGAAGAGCATGACATGGGACCTTTAAAGTTACAACCGGCCCTTTGAGTGCAACCATAATGCTGATGTGGCCCGAGAGGAAATTGAGTTTGACCCCCCTGTTGTAGATACAGTGTGATCTGTACGTTGTGATGCACATGATGATTAACTGAGGCAGAGCATTGTTGACATTTCACATATTATTCTTAAGAAAGGTCCGGTTGGTCAAAAAGAGAATTCATCATTTTCAGAATGTACTTTTTTTTGCACTAAAACAAATGAGTTGTTGCACTTGAGATCCAATGTGGCCCCTGAACTAAAACGAGACCCCTGATGAACATGCACTAACACCTATAGACCACCACAGAAGAAGAAAAGGGCCTCTTTAAGTTGCTGATATGAGTGTCTCTGCTCTTCATCATCAGCTTCTCCTTTGAACTCTGTGTGTGTGTGTGTGTGTGTGTGTGTGTGTGTGTGTGTGTGTGTGTGTGTGTGTGTGTGTGTGTGTGTGTGTGTGTGTGTGTGTGTGTGTGTGTGTGTGTGTGTGTGTGTGTGTGTGTGGTGTGTGTGTGTGTGTGTGTGTGTGTGTGTGTGTGTGTGTGTGTGTGTGTGTGTGTGTGTGTGTGTGTGTGTGTGTGTGTGTGTGTGTGTGTGTGTGTGTGTGTGTGTGTGTGTGTGTGTGTGTGTGTGTGTGTGTGTGTGTGTGTGTGTGTGTGTGTGTGTGTGTGTGTGTGTGTGTGTGTGTGTGTGTGTGTGTGTGTGTGTGTGTGTGTGTGTGTGTGTGTGTGGCACCTGATGACTCTCAGGATGGATTTAAAAAGTGTTTCGTGTCCTGAGTGATGAACTCTCCTCTTCCTCCTCCTCCTCCTCCTCAGGCCTGCTGGCGTCTCCTCACTCGGCTCCAGGAAACCTCGACAGCAAGAACAGCGAGAGAGAGAGTCGCCTCAACGGAGGAAACAGCCGGGAGAACAGCACCGACTTCAGCAGGGTGACACTCCTCTTCTTCCTCCTCCTCCTCCTCCTCCTCTTACTCTTATTCTTCTTTAGAAATCCATTAACCTGTTAAGCCCGAGAGACCCCGGTACCGGGCCACTGCCGCAACATCTTGCAGGAAACAGTGTCTGAGGGCATGTTCATTTAATAAACTATGAATGTTTTATATCCATGTAACGGGAAGAAACTCATCTAACTGATCTTTTTTATTTTTTTTTTCAAAAGAAAACCCACAATGCTAACACTGAGCCTCTGAATTAGCAACGAGCGAAAAATGCTAACACCTTACTGCACCGAAAATCACTCACAAAACCTTATTATTTATCTCTTCTCTACATCCATGACATTGTTTCACATCGTGAGGTGACACAGAATCGAAGGACACCGACATTATCACTGAAATATACGTATTTGCGACGTTACAAGCAAAAACGGACATCAAAACAGGTGACGCTAGGTAGCCAAAAATGCTAACATTTTTACCTTGGCTCTGTAGTCTCTCCAAAGTGGTCTTCAATGGCATTAAAACGATAAAAACGCTGCTGAAGTTAATCCATAGGTTAATCCAATGTGTCTGTGTCCCTTTGAAATTATTTCTGATAATCCATAAGCATTAAAACTGCTTTTCCGTTTCCAGATGTCAAAGCTAGAGATAGGTCCACTCTGATGCAAAATTACATGCGCGAAGCCCCCACCTCTTCTCTTCACAATGAGTGTGTGTGGGGGAATCCCCGTTCGATTCTATTGGCTCTAACGGTCAGAAAGAGGTGTCAACCATCAAAATTGACCAATGGGTTCCAGAGATATGGAACATCCACCCAAATGACCCCAGAAGTGGTTTCTTTTTGCTAAATCTCTCTAAAAAGGTCAAATGTCACTTGTTTTGCATCAATCTTGATACAGGGTACTTATTATATGTTCTACTTTGGATTCCTAAAGCTTTTAGTCTACTAACCCATCATCCAAGGGTAGTTTTCACTATAAGTAAAAAATAATCTTTGGACGGACACTATAATTTACAGTTTTTTACTATGTAAAATCTGAATTTTCTTTAAAATAAAAAACATCTATATTGATTCTGACTTTTCTACATCCAACTCACAGGTTTATCATTACTTTGAGAAAAAAGATTATTAATTTAACCCTTTTAGAAGGGAAGATATGGTCATTTGTTCTGGGAATGTCATTTTCGAGCCTGAGACCTGAAAAACAGGCTCAGTGCTCAACAGGTTAAATAAATAAGGAGTAAGGTTGAAATTATTACCAAGTGTGTTGTGTAAAGATGCAGAAATAAACCAAGTAAGAAGGATTTACAAATGATGAATAAAAAATAAATAACAAAACAAATGTGTACAATAAAGACACCAAATATTAAAATATACAGAATATAAGATTATGACAAACTACCTTTAAAACCTCCTACAGTTAGTACACAGATTGCAGGTTTACAGCTGCAGTATGTGCAGAGATGTGAAAGCTGCACGGTGAAGAAGTCGCTGATGAAGGACCGGGATTATGTTTGTATATTAAAGTATGATTTAAACAAATGGTGCATTAAGCAGCCAATCAGAAGGACTCTCAGCAGGACTGTGTGTGTGTGCTGCCAGGAAGCCAGCCGTAAGTCCACCAAGTGTGTGTGTGTGTGTGTGTGTGTGTGTGTGTGTGTGTGTGTGTGTGTGTGTGTGTGTGTGTGTGTGTGTGTGTGTGTGTGTGTGTGTGTGTGTGTGTGTGTGTGTGTGTGTGTGTGTGTGTGTGTGTGTGTGTGGTGTGGTGTGTGTGTGTGTGTGTGTGTGGTGTGTGTGTGTGTGTGTGTGTGTGTGTGTGTGTGTGTGTGTGTGTGTGTGTGTGTGTGTGTGTGTGTGTGTGTGTGTGTGTGTGTGTGTGTGTGTGTGTGTGTGTGTGTGTGTGTGTGTGTGTGTGTGTGTGTGTGTGTGTGTGTGTGTGTGTGTGTGTGTGTGTTAACATATGTTTTGTGGTGAAGAATCAAACTCCAATCTGTGGATGATTTTAATCAAATGTTGAACCAAGATGTCCTTATTATTGTCCATTATCACATGGCTTAGTTGAATACTCGATTCTGATTGGTCAATTCAGAACACGTGACATGTTGTTAATCCAGTAGCACAGACCGTTGTTAAGGACGCTCACATCTGCACAAAGGAGTCCGGTCGATTGAACTGTATAAAGTTTGCTTTTCAAACCGTTTGCTTGTCTTTAGTTTTCCGTTGTCTCCCGCCTGAGAGCAACATGGAGGATTTTAATATTCATTTGAATATATTTGGAGAGCACAGGAAGAGTGGTTAGTGGCTGATGAGTCCCCAGCGAAGAAAAGAAAAAGACAAGGGACAAGAAAGCAGCGGAGAAGTAACGGGCAGAAACCCTCCTTTTTACTCAACGGTCCAGACATAGACATCAAACAGCGACACATATTCAGTGTGCAGTTCCTTTGGCATTAGGGCAGGGATATCTAGATACTTCCCAAGGTCTGACATCATGCATCGTGCTACTTTTAAAGCAAGCAACGATGTTTTCAAATCTGTAATCAAAAAGCTATCGAAGCACTTCCTGCCGTTGCTACGTAGTTCAAACGGTAACAACGAACCATTTTTCTTAGCGGATGCATGTCATTTTAAATCAATAAAAACATTTCAATTAATATTGGGACTAGTCATATTGTTACTTTGTTGAGAATGTGGCCGTGTAATAAGCGGGATAATGTGCAGCGACTTGGTCGTTATGAAGAACACCCGGCAGGCGGCTTCGCGTCGGGCTCCTGATCTGCCTGTCGGGTGTTCTTCATAACGACCAAGTCGCTGCACATCATCCCATAACACACACCAGAGGAACATCTCCATTTATTACACAGCTTAGTTGAATACTCGATTCTCGATTTGGAGGTTGTTCATTCTCAAAAAAACCACACCACTGTTAACCATTACATCGCCGTGGCTGAGGAAGATCAAGCGAGAAGGAGTTTAACAGCGACGTGTGTTTCAGGTGGACATGAACTTCATGAAGAAGATCCCCCCCGGTGCAGAGGCCTCCAACGTGCTGGTGGGGGAGGTGGACTTCCTGCAGAGACCCATCATCGCCTTCATCCGGCTCGCCCCCGCCATGCTGCTCAGCGGCCTCACGGAGGTGCCGGTGCCCACCAGGTCAGATATACACACACACACACACACACACACACACTCTAATTCATGGTTGTCTGAACTAAGGCATTTTGAATTGGCCCTCAGCAAATTCTAAAAGTATAATGGAATACGGCCCACAGCTGAAACTTGAGCTTGTCTTGTGTTGTACTTATTAAATATATGTCGATAAGAAAAAAGCCCAATTACTTATTTACATAACAAGCTTGAAATATACCCTTCATATTTCCTCTAATGATAATCAATCTGGGGCTCCAGTGGATGAGCTGCCAACAAATTAAATGAAACCCTCTGGAGAGCTGTGAGCTGTTTATTTTTCTTAAAGCACATTCAAGTATCAAGAATAATTTACCTACTTTTGATTGATTTTGCTAACGTATAACTGAACTTATGAGGCAGTATAACTCACCTCTAGTGAGTGGCCCAGCCCTTTGAATGTCTTTCTGCATGTGGCCCTCGGTGAAAAAGGTTTGGACACCCCTGCTTTAATTTATTATAAAAAGGTGAGTGCAATGGCGCATTTCCACTACAGCGCGGTTTAAGCGTGCCGTGCCGTGCCCGGCCCGTTTTTGGTTGCGTTTCCACCAGGCTAGCGCGTACCTTTTCACAGTTTTCTGGCTCTCCAAAATCGAGGTTCTTACCGGGTCAACTACCGGGCTGAATATGCTAAACTAGTGACGTGAGTGGCTACAACAAAATGAACATATTTGACCGTGATTTAATTGTAATACAGGTTTCTAAATGATGCCGAAGTAACAACATACTGATACCGGTTAGTAAAAACCATGAATTAATGCTTTGTCAAGTCTGCAGACAGACGGCAGGGGAAAAACCTTTTAAAATGCTTGTTTTCTGAATGGAGATTGGCTAAGCTAACGCAGTATATGCTCCGACCGTCCACACTCACAACAACGGCCTACAGACATAAATAAAGCAGCGACTGTATTCTCCATGACACAGGCAGTCTGTGGTTTGTACTTGTTTAACTTTTGTCTAGTTTCTGAACATATATGAGGAGCTGTGAGCTCTGAGTGCTAACAGCTAACGGCTGATGTTGGTTTTGTGGTTCGCATTGAAGATGACGTCACGGCTCCGCCTACACTGCGTTACTATAGTTACTGCCCCAGCTACTAAACTGTAATGGAAACGCAGCATAAAGTGAGCCTGGCCTACCAAGGCCTAACTATACTGTACTAAGCCGTACGAGGCCCTGCAGTGGAAATGCGCCACAAGTGGACGTTAATGCTGAATCTCGTTCACAAGAAAAGACCCAAAGTATAAGGTCCCCATCCTCGGATTTGGTTTGTGCAGACGGAATACAAATCAACATAATGTCAATATCTCTTAGATCCACAGGTTAAAGAGTCACTTTAATAACTTCCGTTAGACTCACATGAAGAGGCGTCGTTCAGAGTAGAGTAAACCAGCTGGAGCTCGACGCTGCCCCCTACAGGACGGTCCGAGTCCTGCAGGCGGTGATTCTCCACTTTGGATAAAACACAAGAAAACTAAAATATGTATATCTTTCCTTTATGGAGTGGTGCAGTGATGTGTTATTTCTGTGTTGGACCCTGAAGGCAGCATCTCCCTGGTCCAAAGGGATTTCTCCATGTGCTTTGGATTATGTCAGAAAATAAACTCTGTGTCAAACAAACGTTTAGTTCAGCGGGATAATCTCCACATATTAATTAACACCACTTCAGGATTTCTGAAGTAAAAAGCTTAAAAATTCATGTCAGGGTTTAAGACTTGTTTCCGCACCACTCTATCCACATTAATGCTGATTATTTATCAACAATCTCATTCTGTAAATACTTTCTGAAAGCAATGAACTCTGCAATATCGTAGCATTTTAATATCGAGATTTTAGTTCAGAACTGTTGAGATATTTGATTTTCTCCATAATCAAACAGCTATGCTTTGCTCAAGTGACTTCTTGTCCCCGCAGGTTCCTCTTCCTGCTGCTCGGCCCGTTTGGAAAAGGTCCGCAGTACCACGAGATCGGGCGCTCCATCGCCACGCTGATGACAGACGAGGTGAGATGTTTTATAGTATCATTTTATACTTTAAATACTAATATAAAGCACCTGTAACCCGTCTGAATATACAGCAATTTCCTGTCACACCTTCCTACTTCGGCATTGCGTTTCTCGGTAAAAGTATTTTCCCGGCTCGTGGAAAGTGGAAGGTAACATATAACCAGTTGAAATTGGTAAATTGGAAGTTATTTAATGAATGCACACAATAAAGTTGGCAACAAACCACAATCAAAACAAAAGGTCACAAAGGCACCGGTATAAATAAGTAAACAAAAGGAACTTAGGGAGACTCTTTAAATAAGACAAACAACTTGCTAACCGCTGCTAACGGGCTATCACAGAATGTACTGAGCGAGTACCGAGAGACGTCTGCCACAGATGCAGACCTCTCTCGACTAACTGAGGTGCACACAGTCTTGTATCTGTCCCCGGAAGGTGTGTGCGGGGATTGGAGAGTCGGGCCCGGCGTGCTCCAATCCAGATCTTCGGTCACGCCTACCGGGGGAGGGACAGGAAGCCGGCATCCAATGGCGTCAGGGCAACGGCACAGCTCATATACATATAACACACAGCTGCAAACACTTAGAGACAGGCTAATGGGCAGAGAGGAGGCGGCGGCCGTAACAATCATCAAATGGCTTTTGGATAAGTAAAACATTATTAAAGGGAATTAAAACAAGTCAAATCAGGAAAGATAGACTCTGATAGAAGTACATTTGAGATCACTGAATCAGCCTGAGTCTCCTTTAGATCCAGGACAAAGGGTAGTAAAGTGCTCAGTTACAACATAAAGCAAACCAATATATACAAATTCAAACAAAGTAAAGAAACAGAAATATAGTAAAAAAAAAAAAGCTTCCCTTAAGCCCCTCCTCCTGACATTAAGCCCCGCCCCCGATCTCCTGCTCTCGGCTCAGTATGGATAGAATGGATTTTCATTTAAGACTTCTGAAAACAGACGGAAATAAATGCACACGCAATCAAATATAACAAAGAAGAATACAGGGTCATTAAATTAAAACAATCTAAGAACATTTGAACAAAGCTTAGCCTTAAATTGTCTAGGAAGTTTAAATAAGGGGTTGTTCTTAATCTCGATAATGCAAGGACAAAAAGTAGATCCTATATCTGTACGAAAAAGGTTCCACCTGAGTGGGTGCAATGTAAATGACATGCTTTATATATTAATTATATATAATGTCACTTTATTTTCTAACACTTTAAATTCACGCCTAGCTCCTAAATGTTCTCAGACAGAAGGGTTGACCATTTTCAGGCGATCATCATATTGATCTTAGGTTTGAAATCACCATGTTTGCAAGTTTCGCCCGTCTGGCCAACATTTCCTTTTTTCTACATGTCTACATGTTTATTCAGGTAATGCACGTTTTTACAGTATAATGTACTGCAAACAGATCATTCCATTGCTGTCACAGCTCACATGGAATTGAGTCAAATTAGATCAACGGATAAAATGTACATCAATCACTCAATGCATCTTGTTAAAAATAATACACTCATTACAATATTATAAACAAATAAAAGCACTTGACAACCCTGTAAAGCAAAACACCTTCTCTGATTGGCTTCTTATTTTTCTTTAAAACCACCAACATCATTTGGCAGATAACACTTGAACAAACGGCACAAAGCTTTTCTCTCGCTTCACAGTTGGCAAAAATCTTAAAGGTCCCATGTCATGCTCTTCTGGTTCTTACCCGTCCCCTTGTGTTCTGAAGCTTCTGCATGTGAACGGTCTGCAGAGTCCAAACCCTCAAAGTGCACCCTGTAGAGAGTAAAACTCTAACACAGAGCAGACCTGTCTATGCTGCCCCAGAACGCCTCGTTGGACATTTCTCATGTTCCATTGTTTCCTTTCTGGGTTCAGTGACGTGTGAACACCAGGATCAACAACAAATGACCGGATTGGCCCAAATGGACCAATCCTTGGAGCCCCTCACACACCAGGGTCCCTTGGCTAACTAACAGGGAGTCCCATTGACTTGCATAGAGCTCCCTGGTTGGTAATAGACGAGTTGGGATGGTGGAGAAATGCTCTCTGCAGACCCATTCTCACAGCGTTAGAAACCTCTTACTCAATATCAAGACACACTTATTGTTTTTACTTCGTGTGTGTGTGTGTGTGTGTGTGTGTGTGTGTGTGTGTGTGTGTGTGTGTGTGTGTGTGTGTGTGTGTGTGTGTGTGTGTGTGTGTGTGTGTGTGTGTGTGTGTGTGTGTGTGTGTGTGTGGTGTGTGTGTGTGTGTGTGTGTGTGTGTGTGTGTGTGTGTGTGTGTGTGTGTGTGTGGTGTGTGTGTGTGTGTGTGTGTGTGTGTGTGTGTGTGTGTGTGTGTGTGTGTGTGTGTGTGTGTGTGTGTGTGTGTGTGTGTGTGTGTGTGTGTGTGTGTGTGTGTGTGTGTGTGTGTGTGTGTGTGTGTGTGTGTGTGTGTGTGTGTGTGTGTGTGTGTGTGTGTATTGGGCGTTGGGCAGTCAGCTGCCGCTTAAACCAGGCTCTCCTCGATCCTCCAATATTTCAATGGCCCCTAATGTAAATTCTAGCTGAGACCCCCCCCCCTTCTGTGTCTTTCCAGATGAAGTGTTTGTTTTTCTGTTGAAACAGACTCAGATCTTTGAGCTACATCAGTGGTGCAGGTTATCTGGCCTTCCAGCTGGAAATAGATTCTGTTAAATGCTATAGCTTTTTATTAAATAACACAACTTTGGTTTAAACTTGTATGAGCTGTTTTGTTTTGTTTTATGTATGTGTTGTGTGTGTGAGGACCCCGGGAAGAATAGCCAATGATCATGCTAGTGCTAATGGGGATCTCGTCCCCGTCTTGATCTTCAATCTCAGGATCCATGTATTTGTGATCCTCTCCAGAATGGAAGTAGTCATCACATACAGAGCATCAACTAGTTCCTGAACAGTGTCCTTCACATGCTGATATCCAAGAGAGGGAGTTACACAGTCACAAGATGGAGGAATAGAAAGCAGTATTCAATGTTTACTTCAGATTAGCTCCACGTCAGAAATGAGCATGCTTGTCATATGTCTCTCTCCATAGAGGCTGAATCATCATGTTAATCACATAGCTATCATATGCCTCAAACAGTCCTGATGCTCTTCTAGGTAATCATACATCCTGTCATGTTCACAGCTACAGTTGGGATACCTTTGTTAGCATGTTACTCTCATGTTGGAAGAGGACGCTCAGTGTTTTCCCAACAGGATCCTAATAAAGAATAAGAATAATCAAGTGTGTGATTTCCACCACATGCAGGATGTAGCACCCGTTCACGTCTCTCTGTGTCTCTGCTAGATCTTCCACGACGTTGCCTACAAGGCGAAGGACCGGACGGACCTGCTGTCGGGGATCGATGAGTTCCTGGATCAGGTGACCGTTCTCCCGCCGGGGGAATGGGACCCCAGCATCCGCATCGAACCCCCGAAGAGCGTCCCCTCCCAGGTGAGACCGGTGTCTTCCCATTTCACCCCTTCCCAATTCGCCCCATTGCCACTTTGCCCCTTTCCCATTTCACCCCTTTTTTACATTAGGCCACATAAGAAATTATACTTGTCTGCTTGGTCGTGGGTCTTAGGGTTAGGATTAGAGTTTATAGATCTAATGATGCATCCCATGAAGCATTGCATGAAGTCTGTTGACGAATCAGAGGCTGTTGTTGGGGCTGCATGGGACAGGGGGCTGCATGGGACAGGGGGCTGCATGGGACAGGGGGCTGCATGGGACAGGGGGCTGCATGGGAAGGGGGCTGCATGGGACAGAGGGCTGCATGGGAAGGGGGCTGCATGGGACAGGGGGCTGCATGGGACAGGGGGCTGCATGGGACAGGGGGCTGCATGGGACAGGGGGCTGCATGGGACAGGGGGCTGCATGGGACAGGGGGCTGCATGGGACAGGGGGCTGCATGGGAAGGGGCAAAATGGGAATAAACCGGTGAGACCGCATTCAATTCAAACTCATCTCTAAACCCCACCATGTTCTGAACAGAGAATATTCATTGGTACCATTGGTGTCGAATCGGAGATACAGGGTCCCACAAAGTCAGACTGAAGCTCTCCCGTGTGCACCGGTCAATCCTCACGTTAAATACAGAGTTCAATCCCAGATCTAATGTATGTTAGAGGGTCTTGAACATGTCTCTCTTCAGTGATCGTAATGTTATCTCAAATATCCGTTTCCCTTGAACTGTGTTTTAATATCTGTCCTTGTTTGATGTTGCAAATGGAGCTGCTGTGATGCAAGTACAATCAGACTTGATCTGACATTCATTACTCGAACAAGTAAGGCCTTAATTGATATTAACATTTCTTAAGTTATCAAAAATCATGGGTAGTTCTTTAACGGATAAAGACATAGAGGGAAGAAACTTTTTCCCGGTGGGATATTTGCCAAAGCTGGAAACTAATTATGGCATTTATTTGCTCTTATATACCGTGATGGTTCCAAGTACGATCAAATACAGCTCTATAAATAAACCCTGTCCATGCCATCATTACATTTTTTACATGACATGTCACTTGTTAGACGCTTTTATCCAAAGCGACTTACATACTCAATACTGTGGTCAATCCCCACAGGAGCACTTTGGGGTGAAGTGTCTCAGGGACACAATGACATGCTGACTGCAGTGGGGTTTGAACCGGTGTCCCCCTGATCCCAACACCAATGCACTAGCCCACTGCGCCACAGCCGCCCTGTGTCTCCCATCAGTGTCTAATTTACTGCCAATCACGGGAGTGTAGAAATCTTCCATGGATACCTGCAATTCCTGAAGGCATGACTACGGAAGGCCTGTCACTCATGATTCCAAGCCCCTCTCCGCTAAGCCCCGCCCTCCGCGCAACATCACGGCCAAAAGTCTAAAAGCGAGAAAAATATGAATCTGAAAGCATAAAATCTGCATATGAAAAAAAGCATGACTCTAAGTATCAACATATAACTAGAAGTGAAATGTGAACAAATATGATTTAATCAAAGAAATTGCTAAACGGATTTTTTTTTTTTAATGTTTAACCTGAAAAAATGTTTCAAATACTTGTTTTTAGTTTGAATTCATCATTGCATTTTCCAAACTTTTGGCACAGATTTAGCTCCATATAAAATAAAACATCAGACCAGAACATTAGAATACTCTCAGTGATGCATCAAATGGTTTCTTCTTGTAAATGACAGAAAGCTGAGCATATTCAATATCAACTTGAAATCTCTCCCTGCAGGAGAAGAGGAAATTGCCGTCGGCGCAGAATGGCTCCGCCCACAGCTGTGACATCATCAAGGAGTCGGAGCATCAGGCGGGGCCAGAGCTGCAGAGGACGGGCCGGTGTGCAACTAATACCTTTTAACATGTCGATAGCCTCTGTACTCTTCACTATTTCCAGAGATACATGGGATAAAGCCAACACGGCCTCCTTCACTATTTTCTGTTATGGGAAAGTTCCAAATATTAAAGGTGGGGTAGGTAAGTTTGAGAAACCAGCTTGAGATCGCTAGAATTTGAAAATACACAGCCGGAAAAAATCTGCCACTTCCTCACAGAGCCCCTCCTCCAACACACACGAACGCGCACATGACCAATGAGGGCACGAGATAAGTTTGTGCCCCGATGGAAGGCTGACAGGCAGGTAGGCCATCCAGTCATTTTAGCCGGGCCGGCTCAGATGATTGGTCGTGCTTTTTACAGTACTACAGCTTCCACAGATGATATTTTTTATGGATTTTTTGTCAAAGCACTTCAGATATTCATTGCTATCGGGATGTTAAGAGCATTCCATGGAATATAACAACAAGTGTATCTCGAGCCGGTTTCTCAAACTTACCTACCCTACCTTTAAGCAACATTTTTTATTTTGCAGTAAAATATTTGTATACAACCATCTGTTTCATATACTAGACATGTTAAGGTCTCCTATCATGCAAAATGCACTTTTTGATGTCTTTTATACATCTATGTGTCCCCGGTGTGTCCCCGGTGTGTCCCCCGTGTGTCCCCCGTGTGTCCCCCGTGTGTCCCCCGTGTGTCGGGGAACTCTCAAAGTGTCAGAAAATAAAACCCTCTCTCTTTTCCTCCGTACCCACATCTCTAAAAACGGGGGAACAACGGAGCTGATCCAGATTTGCGTCTGATATGACGTAATATCTGAAATGTGGGCGGGCTTTAAACCCACGGGCCAATCAGAAACGTTGCTGTCAGAAACAATGAGACGTGTTCTGGAAGTAATATGGTCTGTGTTTACATTAGCATGCTAACACTCAGAGCTAACCTGTACTGGAGAGAGCATGTGTGAAGAAGCAGGAAATCAAAAGGAAGTCACCTTGTGGTAAACCTGAGAGAGAGAAAGAGTTTGAGCTCCATACTGTTTCAGAGAGAATCCTTCATGTGGTTTGGAACATGATATGGAGTTTAGTCACGGCAGCATTTAGCTGAGTTTCTGCTGGGAGAGTTCTGAGCAGGCATTAGCTCCCCCTCCTCTTTTTTATATTTTTATAACAATGAAAAAACATGGTAGTGGTTTGTTCTACCTCGAGTAGGGGTACCTCAACTTTTAGGGTCCTTAGTTCCTCTGCTATTAGCCTTTTTACACTTCAGTTATCCCACAGTAACAGAGGTTTTTTTTAAAGCCTTCCTCTCCTCGTCTGCAGGGTCTTCGGGGGTTTGGTGAACGACGTCCGCAGGAAGATCCCGTTCCTGTGGAGCGACGTGCGGGACGCCGTCAGCCTGCAGTGCGTCGCCTCCGTCCTCTTCCTCTACTGCGCCTGCATGTCGCCCGTCATCGCCTTCGGGGGGCTGCTGGGGGAGGCCACCAAGGGGGACATCGTAAGAACATGTGTCCCCTCTTCTTCATGTCTCTTCTTCATCAACATGTGTCCCCTCTTCTTCATGTCTCTTCTACATCAACATGTGTCCCCTCTTCTTCATGTCTCTTCTTCATCAACATGTGTCCCCTCTTCTTCATGTCTCTTCTACATCAACATGTGTCCCCTCTTCTTCATGTCTCTTCTACATCAACATGTGTCCCCTCTTCTTCATGTCTCTTCTACATCAACATGTGTCCCCTCTTCTTCATGTCTCTTCTACATCAACATGTGTCCCCTCTTCTTCATGTCTCTTCTTCATCAACATGTGTCCCCTCTTCTTCATGTCTCTTCTTCATCAACATGTGTCCCCTCTTCTTCATGTCTCTTCTTCATCAACATGTGTCCCCTCTTCTTCATGTCTCTTCTTCATCAACATGTGTCCCCTCTTCTTCATGTCTCTTCTACATCAACATGTGTCCCCTCTTCTTCATGTCTCTTCTACATCAACATGTGTCCCCTCTTCTTCATGTCTCTTCTACATCAACATGTGTCCCCTCTTCTTCATGTCTCTTCTACATCAACATGTGTCCCCTCTTCTTCATGTCTCTTCTTCATCAACATGTGTCCCCTCTTCTTCATGTCTCTTCTTCATCAACATGTGTCCCCTCTTCTTCATGTCTCTTCTTCATCAACATGTGTCCCCTCTTCTTCATGTCTCTTCTTCATCAACATGTGTCCCCTCTTCTTCATGTCTCTTCTACATCAACATGTGTCCCCTCTTCTTCATGTCTCTTCTTCATCAACATGTGTCCCCTCTTCTTCATGTCTCTTCTTCATCAACATGTGTCCCCTCTGTGGAAAGAGACTCTGAAAGTTTCAGGAACAAAGATTCTCTCTCTTTTTGATCCATTTTTATAAAAACCTGTCTGAAAATGAGCTGATCAGATTTTGGCCACTTTATGATGTCATAACGTTTGTTGGCTTGGTAACCATTAGCCAATCAGCAACCAAGGTAGGTTCATTTATATCTGAAAGGCTCTTTATAGCAGTTTAATACTATATTTTAAATAACGCTCAAGGTACTGTGATGTTACTCGGAGCGCTCAGTCTTAAAACGGAAACCATTTTTTGAAGCCAAACTAAATAAATAACATTAATAATCGTAAACGTTCGATGTGTAGTCCACTCGCCTAGAGAAATCGAAGGGCAACCCGAGTAAAAACTGTAACTAACAGATATCACCGTGAAACTCTCCCACTTCATTACTGACATTAACACAGTTCTTTTTTATATTACAAGTTTTCTGACATGTCATGTTTACATATGCAAATGAGGCGTTATGTCATGCTAACTGTTGGTGAATTTAGGAGAAATCTGCAGACACAAACTGACACAGTTGGTGAGATAAACTCCTGGATGTGGATTGAGTTGTTTCCTTTCCACTCGTGTGAAAGAAGACATGTTATGGAGGATGAAGTGTTTTAATGGAGCAGTCCAACATTAGTCTCTCTCTCTGTCTCTGGTAGAGTGCCATAGAGTCTCTGTTCGGCGCCTCGATGACCGGCGTGGCGTACTCTCTGTTCGCCGGGCAGCCGCTCACCATCCTGGGCAGCACCGGCCCAGTTCTGGTCTTTGAGAAGATCCTCTTCACTTTCTGCAGGTGAGGAGGGAACACCTGTACATACACCTGCACATAGATAGTCCTCCTAAAATAATGGACCACTTCAGGATCATACATTTAAAATGACTGGATGAATTCACTCACAACATCCCAGAGAAAAATGAAGTTGTTAATAAGATCGGTGGGAGAGGAGCAAAGGGACTTTGGTTGTAAACAAACTGATCATTAATAGTGTGACTAAAATAGACTTTGTGAACATCTTTCCAACAACATCATGGAAAGATTCCCACCGCTACGAGACTGTAATATTTAAGACGGAGCCACAAAAACACTGAGTCCTTGAGTTGTAATGATTTAGACGAGCTGCTTTTTATTTGATTCATTTGTACATTAGATGTGAATGAATCAAGTCGTCTTAAAGGTTCCTCCCAGTCGGCGCTCACTGGGGGAACAGCAGGAAGCCGCTGAAGGTGCTGTGGTGGTTGCTGTTGTCCCAGATCTGAGTGTTGGTCCACAGCACCATCTTCAGTTTGTCGCCCTCCTCCAGCATCAGGGCGGCGCCGTTGGACGCCGTGTCGCTGCCCTCGCCCCCCGGCTGCTCGTGGGCGATCAGCTCGATGAGGTTGTTGTTCTTGTAAAGCACGGCGCTCATGGGGAAGTTGGAGGGGGCGTTGGCGGTGAAGCGGATGTAGTAAACTCCACGAATCGGGGCCGTGAACTCACCTGCAGGAAGGACAGGTTAATGAACACGAGACAAAATAACTGAAGCACAAACATTCCCGAGTTCAGGATCCTTCATTTTACTTTTACAATATTATCAATAGTTTCATATATCAAAGTTAAAGAGTCCTCTCCTGCTGATGTTCAGGTGTATATCAGTATGTAGTGTCTCTACTTTAAAGAGTCCTCTCCTGCTGATGTTCAGGTGTATATCAGTATGTAGTGTCTCTACTTTAAAGAGTCCTCTCCTGCTGATGTTCAGGTGTATATCAGTATGTAGTGTCTCTACTTTAAAGAGTCCTCTCCTGCTGATGTTCAGGTGTATATCAGTATGTAGTGTCTCTACTTTAAAGAGTCCTCTCCTGCTGATGTTCAGGTGTATATCAGTATGTAGTGTCTCTACTTTAAAGAGTCCTCTCCTGCTGATGTTCAGGTGTATATCAGTATGTAGTGTCTCTACTTTAAAGAGTCCTCTCCTGCTGATGTTCAGGTGTATATCAGTATGTAGTGTCTCTACTTTAAAGAGTCCTCTCCTGCTGATGTTCAGGTGTATATCAGTATGTAGTGTCTTTACTTTAAAGAGTTCTCTCCTGCTGATGTTCAGGTGTATATCAGTATGTAGTGTATATACTTTAAAGAGTCCTCTCCTGCTGATGTTCAGGTGTATATCAGTATGTAGTGTCTCTTCTTTAAAGAGTCCTCTCCTGCTGATGTTCAGGTGTAAATCAGTATGTAGTGTCTCTACTTTAAAGAGTCCTCTCCTGCTGATGTTCAGGTGTATATCAGTATGTAGTGTCTCTTCTTTAAAGAGTTCTCTCCTGCTGATGTTCAGGTGTATATCAGTATGTAGTGTCTCTACTTTAAAGAGTCCTCTCCTGCTGATGTTCAGGTGTATATCAGTATGTAGAGTCTCTACTTTAAAGAGTCCTCTCCTGCTGATGTTCAGGTGTATATCAGTATGTAGTGTCTCTTCTTTAAAGAGTTCTCTCCTGCTGATGTTCAGGTGTATATCAGTATGTAGTGTCTCTACTTTAAAGAGTCCTCTCCTGCTGATGTTCAGGTGTATATCAGTATGTAGTGTCTCTTCTTTAAAGAGTTCTCTCCTGCTGATGTTCAGGTGTATATCAGTATGTAGTGTCTCTACTTTAAAGAGTCCTCTCCTGCTGATGTTCAGGTGTATATCAGTATGTAGAGTCTCTACTTTAAAGAGTCCTCTCCTGCTGATGTTCAGGTGTATATCAGTATGTAGTGTCTCTTCTTTAAAGAGTTCTCTCCTGCTGATGTTCAGGTGTATATCAGTATGTAGTGTCTCTACTTTAAAGAGTCCTCTCCTGCTGATGTTCAGGTGTATATCAGTATGTAGTGTCTCTACTTTAAAGAGTCCTCTCCTGCTGATGTTCAGGTGTATATCAGTATGTAGTGTCTCTACTTTAAAGAGTCCTCTCCTGCTGATGTTCAGGTGTATATCAGTATGTAGTGTCTCTACTTTAAAGAGTCCTCTCCTGCTGATGTTCAGGTGTATATCAGTATGTAGTGTCTCTACTTTAAAGAGTCCTCTCCTGCTGATGTTCAGGTGTATATCAGTATGTAGTGTCTCTACTTTAAAGAGTCCTCTCCTGCTGATGTTCAGGTGTATATCAGTATGTAGTGTCTCTACTTTAAAGAGTCCTCTCCTGCTGATGTTCAGGTGTATATCAGTATGTAGTGTCTCTACTTTAAAGAGTCCTCTCCTGCTGATGTTCAGGTGTATATCAGTATGTAGTGTCTCTACTTTAAAGAGTCCTCTCCTGCTGATGTTCAGGTGTATATCAGTATGTAGTGTCTCTACTTTAAAAAGTCCTCTCCTGCTGATGTTCAGGTGTATATCAGTATGTAGTGTCTCTACTTTAAAGAGTCCTCTCCTGCTGATGTTCAGGTGTATATCAGTATGTGGTGTCTCTACTTTAAAGAGTCCTCTCCTGCTGATGTTCAGGTGTATATCAGTATGTAGTGTCTCTACTTTAAAGAGTCCTCTCCTGCTGATGTTCAGGTGTATATCAGTATGTAGTGTCTCTACTTTAAAGAGTCCTCTCCTGCTGATGTTCAGGTGTATATCAGTATGTAGTGTCTCTACTTTAAAGAGTTCTCTCCTGCTGATGTTCAGGTGTATATCAGTATGTAGTGTCTCTACTTTAAAGAGTCCTCTTCTGCTGATGTTCAGGTGTATATCAGTATGTAGTGTCTCTACTTTAAAGAGTCCTCTCCTGCTGATGTTCAGGTGTATATCAGTATGTAGTGTCTCTACTTTAAAGAGTCCTCTCCTGCTGATGTTCAGGTGTATATCAGTATGTAGTGTCTCTACTTTAAAGAGTCCTCTCCTGCTGACGTTCAGGTGTATATCAGTATGTAGTGTCTCTACTTTAAAGAGTCCTCTCCTGCTGATGTTCAGGTGTATATCAGTATGTAGTGTCTCTACTTTAAAGAGTCCTCTCCTGCTGACGTTTAGGTGTATATCAGTATGTAGTGTCTCTACTTTAAAGAGTTCTCTCAGGTTCTGCTCTGATTGGTTAGCTGGCCTGGTTTTGAGCGCTTGCCAATAGGAGGGTGAGTGTTCCATAGTGATGTCACTATGTTCCGGAAGTAAACAAATGAGTCCAATAGAGGCGTTTCACATATTTGAATGTTGAGAGTGTTGTTGCTCTCTCTGTGATTATAAGCATGTAGTTTAATTTCGATGCACGTGAACAGGCGTGATGTATGTTCTCATCACTGACCGGTCTCAGAGTTGTACGCCTGTCCGATGTTTGTCATGACGTCTTTGTAGATGAGAGTTTTGCTTCCTGACGTCGCCTTCACGAGGCCGTTACCTCCGAGAGAGACGGCAAACGCCACCTTCGGTACATCTGGAGAAAAACCACAATAAATACACAAACAAAATAAAGATATCAAATAATTGCAAATGTTCTGTACACACACTTTTAAAGTAAGCAGCAGTTTCAATATAATATGTTATGTATACGTTTAAAACAATGTAATCACATGAGTTTCAAATGTACGTTTATTTTTTATTTAAAACTGTGACCAACTACAGTATCTTCTTGTTTATTCCCCTACATTCAAAAGCATTTATTTTTATAGTAAGAACAACGATAATACTCGTATAATAAAAATAACTTACTATCCAGGGAAATATTTGTAGTATTTCTCACATTTCATGATATTTTCATAGTTTCAATCTCCACAGAAAGTGCAGAATATTTTGTGGCTTTTTCAAAGTAACAAATACGTTGATGTTGACTTTTTAAATGTAAACTTTGAGATGCAAAGATTACATTAAAACACCTATTTAAATGTTAGATATAATAAAATATGGACAAAAAACACTAAAACTAATTAAAAAAACATTCTTTTGTATGAGTTTTGGAGTTGGGTTGATATATCGCCCATTTAAATGATGATACTTACAAAGATTTAAAAAGTAGTTTCATCATTGTGTAATAGCTCATAATATCCACAAGAGGGCGATCCTCCATAAAAGTTACCACCCAGTGCCAAGGAGGGGCGCTTGTTTTGTGCATCAGTCCACTATCATTTCTTGCTGCTATTAAACCCTAACAATTATAGCAGTCATTTAGTTTTCTGTCAACAACTTTTTTTTAAATGACATTAACATAATTACTTTAAGGAGTTACTGACCTCTCATGGTCTTCAGCTCGCTCTCTGTGCTGTTCAGTCTCTCTAGGATGCCTACAAATGCAAAAACAACAATTCATTCTTAGTATCCAACGTACAAAATGAGGGTCGTGTGAAAGCAAACACATTGTGAGTTGAGTTGTACCTCTGTTTTCTGCCTGAAGCTGCATCAGAGAAACCTCAAGGGTCTTCATCTCGGCTTCAGCGTCAAACTCTTTTGGAGGGTCGTCCACCCTTTAACACAAAGACAACAACAAGTGTCCATATTTAGAAGGTAGTCCCCACTTTAACACAAAGACAACAACAAGTGTCCATATTTAGAAGGTAGTCCCCACTTTAACACAAAGACACAAACAAGTGTCTGCCTTTAGAAGGTAGTCCCCACTTTAGCACAAATACAAAAACAAGTGTTTGCCTTTAGAAGGTAGTCCCCACTTTAACACAAATACAACAACAAGTGTCTGCCTTTAGAAGGTAGTCCCCACTTTAGCACAAATACAAAAACAAGTGTCTGCCTTTAGAAGGTAGTCCCCACTTTAACACAAATACAAAAACAAGTGTTTGCCTTTAGAAGGTAGTCCCCACTTTAACACAAATACAAAAACAAGTGTTTGCCTTTAGAAGGTAGTCCCCACTTTAGCACAAATACAAAAACAAGTGTCTGCCTTTAGAAGGTAGTCCCCACTTTAACACAAATACAAAAACAAGTGTTTGCCTTTAGAAGGTAGTCCCCACTTTAACACAAAGACAACAACAAGTGTCTGCTTTTAAAAGGTAGTCCCCACTTTAGCACAAATACAAAAACAAGTGTTTGCCTTTAGAAGGTAGTCCCCACTTTAGCACAAAGACAACAACAAGTGTCTGCCTTTAGAAGGTAGTCCCCACTTTAACACAAAGACAACAAGTGTCTGCCTTTAGAAGGTAGTCCCCACTTTAACACAAATACAAAAACAAGTGTCTGCCTTTAGAAGGTAGTCCCCACTTTAACACAAAGACAACAACAAGTGTCTGCCTTTAGAAGGTAGTCCCCACTTTAGCACAAATACAAAAACAAGTGTCTGCCTTTAGAAGGTAGTCCCCACTTTAACACAAATACAAAAACAAGTGTCTGCCTTTAGAAGGTAGTCCCCACTTTAACACAAAGACAACAACAAGTGTCCATATTTAGAAGGCAGTCCCCACTTTAGCACAAAGACAACAAGTGTCTGCCTTTAGAAGGCAGTCCCCACTTTAACACAAAGACAACAAGTGTCTGCCTTTAGAAGGTAGTCCCCACTTTAGCACAAAGACAAGTGTCCACTCTTAGAAGGCAGTCCCCACTTTAACACAAAGACAACAAGTGTCCATATTAACAGGTATTCCCCACTTTAACAAAGAGGCAAAAACAAGTGTATGCCTTTAGAAGGTAGTCCCCACTTTAATACAGCAGTCGACGCAGTCCGCCTTTACTGTTTTTCTGAGCAGTGGTGCAGAGAAAAATCAGCGACGTAAATGGTGATGTCATGACGTGGCACCACTTGGTGGAAAGCGAAACAAGGTCTCTAGAGCTAACTACTAAGAACCAAACAAGCACCAACTGGTTTTCAGTGGAAAGGGGTGAAGCAGAGAGTGTAGAAACACTGGCGTGGTGCTCACATTGAGAACAGCAGGAAGCCGCTGAAGGTGCTGTGGTGGTTGCTGTTGTCCCAGATCTGAGTGTTGGTCCACAGCATCATCTTCAGTTTGTCGCCCTCCTCCAGCATCAGGGCGGCGCCGTTGGACGCCGTGTCGCTGCCCTCGCCCCCCGGCTGCTCGTGGGCGATCAGCTCGATGCGGTTGTTGTTCTTGTAAAGCACGGCGCTCATGGGGAAGTTGGAGGGGGCGTTGGCGGTGAAGCGGATGTAGTAAACTCCACGAATCGGGGCCGTGAACTCACCTGCAGGAGGAAGTTAGGGAGAGGATTTAAACCGAGCACATGGGAGGCAGCTTCATTACCTGAGAGCACGTCCGGCTGTCTTTGGTTTGTAAAACTTCACACATAGAAGTTCAAACTGAAGGAAGAATATTTTGCGAAAGGCTGGGTAAAATATCTAACATATAGATTTTAAAAAATGTATAGTAATGTTGTTGATGTTTTTACTATACAAAATGGACCTTGTGCGTTACACTAATTATTGGTTATCTAATTAAAACACATTATTGAACTCACTCTGTGTTTGATTTGCTGGAAATTAAACATGAATTGATCAGTTTTTAATAGCTTGTTAAATATTTCAGAACTCAGTGTCTGAAAGGCATGTGTTAATAAAACAAAATATCCTGTAAATTCTGCTTGTATTAATATAATAATTAAATACAATACTTAATATTGTGCGGCTCGTCCTTCGAGTTGGTTTTAAATACGTAACTAAAAATATATATCTGTATATAACCTGCAGAAGGGAGTTAGGGGGAGGATTTAGACCTAACATGTGGTTGGAAACTTGTATGATCATTTTGGGTTGGAAGAATTCCTATAACGACACTGACAATCAACCAATGAAACAATATTCACAGAAACATTCAGACTGCTGAATTCCTGTGCCTTCACAACCTCATACCAATCTCACATTTATATAGTAACACAACAGCAGTACAGCATTTCATTGTATAGGTAACTTCACATACCTGCACATTAGTCTGTCAACATTTGTTTTATGGCTTATATATATTCATGTTGCATTGTACAGATATACAGCCTCATAGATATGACAATAAAGCCCTTTGAACGTTCGAACCTTAATCAAGTTCTTTGTTGAAGCTTTGATGCAAATTCACTTTAGGTTTCCACGTCCTCTCAATGGCAGCTTGTTGATTGTGTCTCACCTGTGTTGGCGTTGTAAGCCCCCCCGACGTTGGTCAGCAGGTCCGTGTAGACGAGGTTTTTGTTTCCGCTGGTCGCCTTCACCAGGCCGTTTCCTCCCAGCGAGGCGGCGAACGCAACTTTAGGGGTTTCTGCACAGAAGACATTCCTCTAATCTGCCATACAAGACTTTTATACACATATTTGTTCACCAAATCTATAAAAATCTAAAGATCATTTCACTCTTATCCTTTTGCGAGACATCTCTTAAAGATTTCTCACCTTTCACTCTCTTCAGTTCCCTCTCAGCCATGTCCAGACGCAAGCTCATCTCTGCAAACAATTTAAAAATGTTATTTCAGGCGGTATTTATGACCGAAAAGCCATATTTATTCCTCATGAAAGACGATAGTAATCCTTCATTACAATACACATGCTTTCAAACTTTTTAAAGATTTGTTATATATATTAATAAATACGGTTTACAGGTTTTAGGAATAACGGATTACATGATAACGTAATCAGGAGGGAACTTTATCTGATTAGATTGAAGGAATAAGAGATTACAGGATCACAGGGTTACATCTTGACATACAGATGGATATATTATAGGTAGACATACTACATTTCTTAATTTAACAAAAATACATTCTGTGTTTTAATTAAAGCTTAAACAGCATTTGTAAACCATTACTGCTCCTACATTTTTTTATATACAAATATCTTGGTTTCGCCTTTTCTACGGTCACATTTCTACATACACTTCAGTAAAAAACATATCATTGTTATTTATTTTCTCTTGTTTTTAAAAGCCAGCTGGATCTCAGGGACATAAAACGACCCGGTGAGATATGTGAGGTCCAAAGCATTAAGAGCTTTGTAAACCGTTACAATATGTTTCTAAAGGACACTGGGAGCCAATGCAGCTCACACGAACTAATGTGCTCTCCTTCGTTATACTCAGATTAGGTCACTGATTACACTTTTTGACATGTGACTAGTTACTGTAAGGCAACGGGTCCCAACCTTTCTCTACTCAGGCCCACATTCAACCATAAACAATACAGAGGCTAAATAAAGTTCTGATTGGTCGATTCAGAACATGTGACACGTTGTTAATCCAGCAGAACAGACCGCTGTCATGGACTGTGATGACCGTTGCTAAGGACTGTAATGACCGTTGCTAAGGAGGATCAAGAAAGAGAAAGGAAAGGAGGTTCCAATAAAAAAAAATCTTAATAATGAAAATGTTTCCACTCAAATTATAATGTTTTGCAAATTATTTGGCGGCCCACTTGCTCAGGTTTGGAACCGCTGGTCTAAGGGATTACAGTTTTAAAGTCAAACCCTGGCGGCCTCACCTCGCCTCTCGACTTGCAGATCCTGCAGAGCGGTTTGAAGCTTCTTCAGATCCACCGGCTGAGCCGAGCCGAGCCGAACCAGGCCGAGCAGAACCAGCAGGAGAACCGGAGCCATGATGAGAGACAGGAGGAGATACAGGGGGAGAGAGGAGGCGCTGCCCTTTATAGACTCGCTGTCTGTGAGCGACGGTCTCCTGCTGACTGAAGTCTCATTGGTTATTTGTTGGGAATGCTGAGTGAGTGTTCCCAACAGGGGCGGTTCTAAAGGGGAGCCAACAGGGGCCAGTGATCCCTAACACTGACCAGGGACCCCCCCCCCCCTGTGGCCCCCCTCCAAATAAAGTTTACAATATTACGATTCATTGGAACTAAATCCAATCAGAGACCCGGATGTACAGTGGAGATTAAACAGAAAAAACAAATGCTCCAAATGAAAAAAAAAAAAACTACTGAAACAAAGAACTGTATTTTAAAGAGGACCTATCATGCTATATTTGAATAATATAGTGTAGGACCATACCTATATAAGGCATATTTATACTTATACCAAACAGATCATGCATTTTAGCCCTGCCTCATTTCGCTTAATTTGAAAAGTTTTAGCTCTGGATTTGCAAGGGCTGATTCAGTAAGAACAGCACCACCTACAGGCCTGGCATATGTACTACAGCGTCTCCAGCGCTTTCGAACGGCAATGGCCGTGGCTGTCTCCTCCTGATTGGTGGAGTTGGCCCAATAGCCGTAGCGCCACCGTCCTGACGTCAGGACAGTGTTCAAATCTGGATCAGTTTTTATCAGATCCGTTGCAGCCCCTTTTTTTAGAGATTTGGGTATGGAGGAAAATAGAGAGGGTTGTGTTTTCTGACACTTGGTGAGTTCCCTGGAACACCGGGGACACATATTCATGTATAAAAGACGTACAAAAGTGCATTTTGCATGATAGGTCCCCTTTAAATTAAATTAAAAAAATTCCTTTACAAAAACAAATACCAATTACTGTATTTCATGTTTATTTTACACAATTACCTTATGACCATGAAATGAGCGGCCCCAGCCTGGCCCCCCCAGTAAATTGGTCTAGAACCGCCAGTGTCTCCTGGCATTCATAACGTTTAATGATTACAGACTTATTAACAATATTTCATTCAAATTTCACTACAGAATTCCTCACATTTATATTTTAGCAGCTGTGCTTCATCCTCAGATCAGGTGAGCGTTGGTTTAATTGACTCCCACACAAATTGCAGTTTCTCAGCATTCACACGTCTTCATGTCTTCAGGTATTGCATTCTCTAGTTATTGATTGTTATTCTGGGCTGAGGGAAACAAATACAAAGGGTTTTCTTTATTTTGAAGAGATATGGCATGTCTAATAAACACAAAAAACAATGCCAGCTAAACAATGAGAGCCTGGTTTAACAGTAGAAATGAAATATATCCGTAGTACTGTGTAATGGATAAAGGAACGTTAAAAAACCTGAAACATTGACTTGAATTAAATGTATTATATCAACATGTTTCCCATAACTGTATTAGGTTAGTTGAAAGCAATATATATATATAATACACTGAAGTCGTTTGCAGTCCCACTTTTCAGTCCAAATTGCAAACCTTGAAAAGAAAGACGGACGTTTTTAATGCAGTTTCAACTTGAAAAGCCGGTTTTATGATAATCATAATAATTTGTTAAAATGTTCTTAAAGGGATTCCATTATTTCTATTGGTTTGAGCATTGTAGGACATTTGACCTTTTTTAAATATGTTATTTGATTCTTTTGGTGGTTCTTCACCTTCTTACATTCAGCAGTTTCAGACCTCTGGTTACTGATTGGTGGATTATTGATCTGGTAATTGATCCCTGCTCTCTGATTGGCCGTTCAGAGGTCAGGAGTCTGATGGACCAGCAGTGCTCTCTGTTTAATCAATCACAAAGGATTCCTGTTTAAACCGGATTAGACCAGAGTTTAACTTTAAATGTGCTGCACAATACTTTCAACTGAAGTTGAATATTAACCTTTAAAACATTAATTCAGTTTTTAACCTTAATGTTATTTAATTATGTTGCATGTTGCATGAAGTCATGTGACCGTGCTGTAGTTCCTTTATAGCCCAACATTAGCCTCCTTTAGCTTAGCGGTGGTGACGTGAAGTCATGTGACCGTGCTGTAGTTCCTTTATAGCCCAACATTAGCCTCCTTTAGCTTAGCGGTGGTGATGTGAAGTCATGTGACCGTGCTGTAGTTCCTTTATAGCCCAACATTAGCCACCTTTAGCTTAGCGGTGGTGACGTGAAGTCATGTGACCGTGCTGTATTTCCTTTATAGCCCAACATTAGCTTCCTTTAGCTTAGCGGTGGTGACGTGAAGTCATGTGACCGTGCTGTAGTTCCTTTATAGCCCAACATTAGCCTCCTTTAGCTTAGCGGTGGTGACGTGAAGTCATGTGACCGTGCTGTAGTTCCTTTATAGCCCAACATTAGCCACCTTTAGCTTAGCGGTGGTGACGTGAAGTCATGTGACCGTGCTGTAGTTCCTTTATAGCCCAACATTAGCCACCTTTAGCTTAGCGGTGGTGACGTGAAGTCATGTGACCGTGCTGTATTTCCTTTATAGCCCAACATTAGCTTCCTTTAGCTTAGCGGTGGTGACGTGAAGTCATGTGACCGTGCTGTAGTTCCTTTATAGCCCAACATTAGCCTCCTTTAGCTTAGCGGTGGTGACGTGAAGTCATGTGACCGTGCTGTAGTTCCTTTATAGCCCAACATTAGCCACCTTTAGCTTAGCGGTGGTGACGTGAAGTCATGTGACCGTGCTGTAGTTCCTTTAGGCCTTTATTTTGTACTTACTTGCACTTTGGTCTTGCAACATTCTCTTGCACTATTTTCTTGTTTTTAAAATGTGTTGTATTATATATTGATGTTGCATTGTTTGACGAGCCTGGTACTTCAGATCTCCATTGCCACATCTACTCTGCAGCTACTGTGCGTATGCCGATAAAGAGCTTGAAGCGTTTGAATCATTAAAACGCGTACGGCCCCCTCCTGTGTTTCCGCAGTGATTACGGCCTGTGCTACCTGTCTCTGCGCACCAGCATCGGGCTCTGGACGGCCTTCCTCTGCTTGCTGCTGGTCGCCACCGACGCCAGCTCCATGGTCTGCTACATCACCCGCTTCACCGAGGAGGCCTTCGCTTCCCTCATCTGCATCATCTTCATCTACGAGGCTCTGCAGAAGCTGGTGCACCTCGGGAAGCAGTTTCCCATCAACATGCACAACCAGCTGGACAACCTCACCTTATACACGTGAGGACGGACTAACATTCATAATATGACTTGTTTCTGCCTCTAGGGGTCTCACAATCAAAGCTGAATTACCCGCAGAGGTCTTTTCCTCTGTGAAGCAGACATGGTGATTACAACCAGTACAAAACACGGAATGAAGCCGTTTCAAGTAGAAAATCTCTGTTTTTGCAACTTGGTTGTGCATAGGACTGATTGTCTGCAAACCTACAGCTACTTGCTTGTCTGATAACTTAAGATCAGGATGTTCGAGGGGGTTTAACTTGAAGCTAGGGTTAGGTTAGGGTTAACGTTTGCTCAGCTTGTTTCTCTGATCATTTAGGATCCAGATGTTTTTTCCCATGAGCCAAAGATCCTCATAAATCTCCTCAACTAAAAAGCAAATGGACACTTTGATTAAAGGGGACCTATCATGCAAAATGCACTTTTGTACGTCTTTTATACATGAATATGTGTCCCTGGTGTTCCAGGGAACTCACCAAGTGTCAGAAAACACAACCCTCTCTATTTTCCTCCATACCCAAATCTCTAAAAAAGGGGCTGCAACGGATCTGATAAAAACTGATCTCTCTCCCCTGACAGGCTGTCAGGGGAGAGAGAGAGAGAGAGGACACTGTCCTGACGTCAGGACGGTGGCGCTACGGCTATTGGGCCAACTCTCCACCTATCAGGGGAATGTGGGGTTGGGCCACGGCCGGCCATTGCCGCTCGAAAGCGCTGGAGACGCTGTAGTACATATGCCAGGCCTGTAAGTGGCGCTGTAGTCTGCCACAAAAGCAGCGAAGAAGACTTCCCGCCCATAGTTGCCATGGTTACCCTTCTGTTTATTCTCCGCTGTGGCTTTCTTTCTCCCTCCCCGAGGCAAGCGTTTGCTCCCGCTGCTATGGCCCTACAATATATCATTTAAATATAGCATGATAGGTGTCCTTTAAAAGCGTTCACAACACAGAATAAAGCAGTTTGATGTTAGAAATCTGTGTCTTCACGATGCTATTTGGTGAACATAGCGTGGAGTGGCAGCTTGTTTCTCTATCAGAATCCAGTATGCTTAATGTGAACCTGGTCCTGTTGCAGGTGCCGCTGCTCTCCTCCTGCCAACGCCTCCACAGACACCCTGCATCAGTGGAGCAACTCAAACGCTACCTCAGAAAACATCCGCTGGGACGAGCTGACAGTGAAGGTAGGACATCAAATATTTATATTATATATAACATATAGATTATCTTCTTTCAGGCTGGTGAAAACTCAAATAAATCCACGTCCAGGAGTCTGTCTCTGATCTCTCCTAAATTCACCCAATCACATAAAGCCTCATTTGCACCCTTATTCTCCTGCAGTGTGTACAACATGAATACTTGTTACAGTGCATGTGTTTATCCCTCTGCAGGACTGTAAGGAGTTCGGGGGGGTGTTTGAGGGCTCGGCTTGTGGCCCCCTCGGCCCCTACGTCCCCGACGTCCTCTTCTGGTCCGTCATCCTCTTCTTCACCACCTTCTTCCTCTCCTCCTTCCTCAAACAGTTCAAGACCAAACGGTACTTCCCCACCAAGGTACGAAAACATGGAGGAGTTTCTGACGTTTCACAACGCAGATATAAAAACACACTTGCGTCACTCTTTAGTGTCCCCTGGTCTCCCAGCTGTGTGCGTCACTCTTTAGTGTCCCCTGGTCTCCCAGCTGTGTGCGTCACTCTTTAGTGTCCCCTGGTCTCCCAGCTGTGTGCATCACTCTTTAGTGTCCCCTGGTCTCCCAGCTGTGTGCGTCACTCTTTAGTGTCCCCTGGTCTCCCATCTGTGTGCGTCACTCTTTAGTGTCCCCTGGTCTCCCAGCTGCGTGTGTCACTCTTTAGTGTCCCCTGGTCTCCCAGCTGTGTGCATCACTCTTTAGTGTCCCCTGGTCTCCCAGCTGTGTGCGTCACTCTTTAGTGTCCCCTGGTCTCCCAGCTGTGTGCGTCACTCTTTAGTGTCCCCTGGTCTCCCAGCTGCGTGCGTCACTCTTTAGTGTCCCCTGGTCTCCCATCTGTGTGCGTCACTCTTTAGTGTCCCCTGGTCTCCCAGCTGCGTGCGTCACTCTTTAGTGTCCCCTGGTCTCCCAGCTGCGTGCGTCACTCTTTAGTGTCCCTTGGTCTCCCAGCTGCGTGCGTCACTCTTTAGTGTCCCCTGGTCTCCCAGCTGCGTGCGTCACTCTTTAGTGTCCCCTGGTCTCCCAGCTGCGTGCGTCACTCTTTAGTGTCCCCTGGTCTCCCAGCTGCGTGCGTCACTCTTTAGTGTCCCCTGGTCTCCCAGCTGCGTGCATCACTCTTTAGTGTCCCTTGGTCTCCCAGCTGCGTGCGTCACTCTTTAGTGTCCCCTGGTCTCCCAGCTGCGTGCGTCACTCTTTAGTGTCCCCTGGTCTCCCAGCTGTGTGCGTCACTCTTTAGTGTCCCCTGGTCTCCCAGCTGCGTGCATCACTCTTTAGTGTCCCTTGGTCTCCCAGCTGCGTGCGTCACTCTTTAGTGTCCCCTGGTCTCCCAGCTGCGTGCGTCACTCTTTAGTGTCCCCTGGTCTCCCAGCTGCGTGCGTCACTCTTTAGTGTCCCCTGGTCTCCCAGCTGCGTGCGTCACTCTTTAGTGTCCCCTGGTCTCCCAGCTGCGTGCGTCACTCTTTAGTGTCCCCTGGTCTCCCAGCTGCGTGCGTCACTCTTTAGTGTCCCCTGGTCTCCCAGCTGCGTGCGTCACTTTTTAGTGTCCCCTGTTCTCCCAGCTGCGTGCGTCACTTTTTAGTGTCCCCTGTTCTCCCAGCTGCGTGCGTCACTTTTTAGTGTCCCCTGGTCTCCCAGCTGTTTTTCTTAATATATTTACATTTAAAAAAACATAACATTTGTAAATTAATTCTTCAGTTATCTCTGCACTAAACATATAATTTAAGATTTTTAAAAATGGTGCAAAAAAGGGTACATTTTGAGAGTTTGGTTGGAAATAATTTCTTCAACGTATCAATTATAATCTGAGCCGATATGTTGTGTTCAGGTGCGCTCCACCATCAGTGACTTCGCCGTGTTCCTCACCATCACCATCATGGTGCTGCTGGACTACCTGGTGGGGGTTCCTTCTCCAAAGCTGCACGTTCCCGACCGCTTCCAGGTAAGCAGGGACTCACCTGAGCGCTAAAACAAAGGGCTCTGATCTCATCTCTGAAAGGAGCGCGTGGATGCCGCTCCGCCTTTTCCCTTCATGGAGATGCACGTGTTTACGGACAGCGACAGAAGAGAAAGGGGGCTACACCAATCATTTAAATATTGGTAGAATTTCTTTCCAGTGCATGCTTCATATTTCATTTTGTTTTTAGTGATACATTTCCCCTTTTTATTTAATACAAAAATAAATATATTTCTTGTATTTCTTATCTTTAATTTATTTATTATTAATTGTTGTAATTTTTTCAATTGTTTTTTATTGTTAACAGTCACAAGATTTGTATTTGATTTGAATTAAATCATATTTCTTTATTGTTTTGATGCAAGACAAACAATTATATTTTGCTCTGATTGGTTAGCAGGCCGGCTCTGTTGTGATTGGTAAACCGCTTAGAGATGTCCCGCCCCTTAGCCTATCACGTACAGCCAGATGGAGCGCTAGCCAATAGTCACTATGTTTTTGAAGTAAACCCATAAGAATAGGGATCTCTGAATTAAGACCTCAATAAAAGCTTTAAATGTATTAAAAATAGACAGCACTCTATCCCAGGATCTACATTTAAAGGACTGAAATATAGGATCAAAGAAATCACATTTATTTCTAGAGATTACATAGTTTTTCCTGGATAAAGCAGCTGTTGGCTCAGTGTGGAAACAGGTCAGAGGTCAGGAGTGTGTTCCCTGTCAGAGTACAGCACGCTGTGTACGGGTGTTATGTGCACAGCGTGTTATGTGTGTTTTTTGGGGTCTTGTGTTCCTACAGAGTTCAACAAAGTAGAGCATCGACCTCCAGCTGCAGGATGGGAAATGTTTTCAAAGAGAGATTAGACGCTGAAACATGAATATGAATATTTAAAATGTAATATATAAAACGTCAGGAACAACTATTACTTTTTTTTTATGTAACTTGATGTTGGTACACAAACTATTTGTTTACTGAAGGATATCAAATGATTCCTTTAAGGGAAGGGAACACTGATTACAGTTACCAAATGTGGATTAATCCGCCGCTGAAAATAGTCCCAAATAAATCCACTCTTACATTACACTTTCAGTCTTTTTACTTCAGTTATATTTCATTTTTAATATGGTCACATTTTGAGGGTAAAGGTTGGGGACCGAGGATGTAGAGCACCCAATGTGGATTAATCCGCCGCTGAAAATAGTCCCTCACAAATGCACCATTTCTTGATAAAAAGCCTCACTTCGAAAGGTTTTAGAAAGTTACTGAGGCTTTTTCGAACATTAAACTACATATTCGGGTTTGAAAAGAGTCACAACAGGAGGTCTACCTGTCATGTGGAAGAATGTCATAATAAAGAGTTTTTATTTTTGTTTAAACGCCTGTTCTCCTTCTTTTCTAAGCCCACGTCGAGCTCCCGCGGCTGGCTGATCTCTCCTCTGGGGACCAACCCGTGGTGGACGCTGCTGGCGGCGGCGGTTCCCGCGCTGCTCTGCACGATCCTCATCTTCATGGACCAGCAGATCACCGCCGTCATCGTCAACAGGAAGGAGAACAAGCTGAAGGTCAGGCACTCAGAACCACAATATATGAAACAACACTGATGATGCTGTGTAGTGTTTCTCTGTAACTTCTTAGATTTGCATAACATTTTTATTAATATTAATAAAAAGTGACGCACACAGCTGGGAGATATTAAAACGTGTGTGTTACTGGGCTAGGGGAACCAGAGGGAAGTAACACAATATAAAATGACCAGGCCAGAGAAAAAGGAGAGGAAGCTGATCTCTCTCTTAATGGACAAAAGAAAAAGGGCTCACCAGCCAACTTGCAAAGTAAACTAAGATAAGCTAGGACACAAATATACACTGGAGCACATCTAATAATAATTAACGAAACACAGGTCCCACACAGAGACAGAGGGTGTTTCTCAATCGCGAGTAAAGCTGCTTCAGAGCCACTATTTCAAGCATACTACGTCATCGAGTGCCGCCGAAGTACTGTTCCAATCTCCAGCATACTTGGAAATCTACCGAGCCCGGCGTACTCCGTTTGGAGAAATATCGAGGCTGCACATGAGTAGACTCCGCGGTCTTAAAATCCCCACAATGCTTTGCGCACGGACCAATTTCCCCAAATCTGTGGTGGAAGATGTAAGAGGCGGGGCCTCTCATATGACGCACACCTGCACACTTGCTAGCGTGTTCCACTCTTTGTTTTCCGAATGCCAGGAAGTATTCTTGACTCGCTTCTGAAGCAAGATGCTCGGCAGACATGTGCTACCAAGCAAGCGTACTCAAGATTGAGAAACACCCCGAGACACCATGCTGCACACATGCAGCCAGAGGAGAAGGAGAGGCCACTGCAGCCTTCTTCAGGTCCTTTAAGGAAGCGAGAGAGAGAGACACACACACACACCCACTACGGCACGTAACACCCCCCCTCCATAAAACCAAACATGTGTTTGGCCACAGTTACCAAAACACACACATTATTGGGTATGAAATGAAGGAAACACGGGACAGAACATCGGCCACCACATTATCCGCTCCCCTCTTGTCCTTGATGACGATATTGTAGTCCGGGTGCTGGTCTTTTGGCTTTTCCGTAGACTGCTTGGAAGCTGCCACCTGCTGCTTCCAAGCTACACACCCTGCCACTAGATGACCAGGGTCAAGACAAAAGAAACATAATCTCTTGGGACCTCGAGCTCTGGTCAAAACACAACCTGCAAACACCTCCGTCTGAGTCTGAGCTAGGTCACCACCTGCAGCACCAGGGATTGAAACGTCTACAACCTCAGCAGTAGGATACACTTTACCCCCGGCTATATCCTTACCCATTATGAAATCCACTCGACAGGAAACTTGGGCAGCACAGCAACTGGAAAGAAACCAGTAGCCAGTTTAGACTGGACCTGGATCTTGTGGAGAGGTGCGGGCACAAAACGCATTTCAATACCTCTTACCATGGCACTTGCATCACAGGCAGACTCAGCACTCAAGGGCAGAACACTGGCAAGGATGAACGACTGTGAACCACTGTCTCGTAACACCGTGACCTGCCGCTGGTCCTCCACCTTCCCTGACAGAGAGACAAAGGCAGTGGAGATGAAAGGTTTAAAAACTCATCAGGCCCTTGGTTAACAGTGGCCCGTCCACTAGGACACACTGCTGTAACCAATCCCACCCCTCTTGGGTGCTTGCCACCTGCTGCCTGCTTCCTCTTCCAAGCTGCACAGTCTGCTATGAAATGACCAGGGTCATGACAAAAAAAACAAGACTTTTCTAGCTTGGGATCTGACACTGGAAAACTGGCACAGGGGACGTATGTGTCAGGAGCTCTATGAGGGTCTCGCTGGGGGGAATCACACTGAAAAAAAACGCTTTTGTGTATCAGTGCAAACTCATCTGCTAGAGTGGCAGCCTGCTGAAGGGTAGTTACTTTTTGCTCATTCAAATAGACTACAGTACGCTCGGGTACACAGTTTTTAAACTCCTCCAACATCATTAGTTCACACATTGAGGTAATGTCATCCGCTTTACCAGCTCTACACCACCTGTCAAAGAGGACTTTCTTCTCCCTCGCGAAGTCCACATACGTCTGGCCAGGAGTTTTCTTCAGGCCGCGGAAACGCTGCCTGTAGGCCTCAGGCACAAGCTCATACGCCCTGAGAACAGCACCTTTCACTTTGTCATACACCAGACTATCCTCGACAGAAAGAGAGGAGCAGGCCTCCTGAGCCTTGCCGACTAGCTTGCACTGTACAAGCATGGCCCACACATCTTCTGGCCAGCGCAGAGCAGCAGCAATGCGCTCAAATGCACCGAAGTAGGTCTCCACTTCTGACTCACGAAAAACAGGGACCAAAGAAATGTGTCTACTCACGTCGAAGGAGGCAGCAGGACCAGACTGTGTAACAGCAGAGTCACCCACCACAGCTGCCTGGAGCTCCAGCAGTGTCTGCCTCCAGCTCCCTCCTGAGCTGAAAATCCCTATCACGCTCCTCCTTCTCCCACTGGAGACGAGCCACTTTTATTCTGGCATCTAACCTAGAGCCTGTAGGAGAGGACTGGGCAGACAACGGGTCAAAGTGAGGCATGGTGAAAGGCTTTGCCTGTGCACTAGCGCTCTGAACACCAGGCGTAACACCAACGTGGCCTTCACTAGGAGATACTACTGCAACAGCCCCGGCCACCGTGCCAGGAGATTCCACTGAATCAGGCAGACTCAAAACCCCCTGCTCAACTAGCCCAGTTAGCAAAGTAGCCTTGAGATCACTTTTAGCGAGAGCAGTGGAGACAAAAGCATTATAGTGGCCAGCAATTAACCGCAAGTCAACCTCCATACACCAGGCTAGCTGACACACGGTAGGATTGGCCACAAACTGCTCCAAAACAAAAACCATACTCAACCACGACCAACTACAAGATTTATTTATTGAAATGCTGTGACACAACAACCTGCCACTAAAGCCTCAAACACTGACGTCAGTCTTCCAAATAACGAACTTCCCCAGATCCTGCCTACCACAACGTACCTACCTCTCTTCTGGAGCGTGCCGGGCTCGAGGCGACTTTAAAGGCAAACATCAGCGGCCGAAACCCTGAAGCGCCTGCTGCCCCCAACAGGGACTAAAGCCCCACCCAGGGTTACCCCGAAAATAAAAAAGGCAAAATAATAAATGAGTGCCTGAAGGAAGGACTGATTCAGCCCAGCTAGACGCTCCGCTGTCTAAACTGAGGAAGCTGTTCAACAGTAGAGACTTCAGCCAATGCTACACTTCTATACACTACTGCTACCACCAAACACAATCTCAACACTACACAACAAACAATCAGATACTCACTCCTTGTCTCAAAGATCTCGGACGAACCCCCATTTGTTACGTTCCCTACTGGGCTAGGGGACCAGAGGGAAGTAACACAATATAAAATGACCAGGCGAGAGAAAAGGGAGAGGAAGCTGATCTGTGAAGCCACAAGATGGTCTTTTAATGGACAAAAGAAAAAGGGCTCACCAGCCAACTTGCAAAGTAAACTAAGATAAGCTAGGACACAAATATACACTGGAGCACATCTAATAATAATTAACGAAACACAGAGACAGAGACACCATGCAGCACACATGCAGCCAGAGGAGAAAGAGAGGCCACTGCAGCCTTCCTCAGGTCCTTTAAGGAGGCCCTGATTGGGGATTGGGAGCACCTGGGGGAGAGGCTGCACCTGGAGACAATCAGGGAGAGAGAGACACACACACACAAAAGCACACACACACACACACACACACACACACACACACACACACACACACACACACACACACACACACACACTACGGCACGTAACAGTGCAGCGTTTGGTTTCTGCAGCTTTTAGTAAACGCTGCGCATGTCTCCTCAAGTTGCTGAATGTTTTCTAAATGCTGCATGTGTTGTCAAGTTGATGAAGATGTTTCTTCATGTGTACAGGAACATTTGGGTTTTTATATCTGGATCAGCGATGTGCAGGCAGGGGATGCAGAGCCTCACCTGTCATACTCCAATGTAACGGAAAAAAAACAAAAGAAAAGAAAAATAATAATAAAATGTCTCCACTGATGGAGGCACAGATGAGCTCTGCCTCACCTCAGATGCGTCACCCCACAGAAACTGGCTGGAAAGCGGGCCCTAAGCGCATGCCTGTTCCCATCTCACTGTAGGTCACCAATGTAATGTTTGTAGATCCCTTTATTACATTTATCCTCGCCATCCATAGTCTCTAAATAACTTATTTCACGTATATATGATATTTAGGCTCGCTGGTCTCATCATACGACGGCAATGAGAAAGCACCAGGAGAGGCAGCCATAACCTCTGCCGCACTGAAGGGGGCGCACGTGAGCCCACAGGTTCTTGTTGCTACTGTTATTCTACGCAGAGACGGTAGACGCAAACAACAAACTAGACTTTTGAAACTACAGGAAGATAAGGAGGACTTTTACAAAAAAGTAATAGCTATTGTTGTCCAGAAGGATAGCATGGACTTCATCTTCAAGTCAAGGTAAGACCACATTTGTAATGAAAATGGGATCTTACTAAGAAAGAACAATCCAATATTTAAATGAAACTACATTTTTTGGGTATCCTTTTGTTGAACGGTCTGTTTAAAATGAATCGAAACATCAGACAAAAACAGCTTTTGAAAATAACATAATATTTGTAAATCTGACTCTGGAAGAGGCACTGCCTCACCAGCCATGAACCTCACCGCACGTCACTGATCTGCATCCTTTCTGAATCTGCAGCTCGCTTGTCCTAATGAAAGAGTTTAGGACGGTTGTATCGTGTTGGCACCTTTCGGCCACCGTTCATTTTATTTGATAGTTTTTTTGTTTAATTTTACTTAAACTTCTTAAATTCATATTGAGTAATGATGTGGTTCCTGTGTGTGGGCTGCAGAAGGGCTGTGGCTATCACCTGGACCTGCTCATCGTGGCGGTGATGCTAGGCGTCTGCTCCATCATGGGCCTGCCGTGGTTCGTGGCGGCGACCGTGCTCTCCATCTCGCACGTCAACAGTCTGAAGCTGGAGTCGTGCTGCGCGGCGCCCGGAGAGCAGCCCAAGTTCCTGGGCATCAAAGAGCAGCGCGTCACCGGGTTCATGATCTTCTTCCTGATGGGCTGCTCCGTCTTCATGACCTCCGCCCTCAAGGTGAGGTAACACCTGTCGGCCTCAGGTGGAGTGTGTGCTTTCCTTTTTCCGAATGTTGCCATTGGAGTGTGTGGGAGAGAAACTCCCTCTGGAGGAAACACAGGGATTTAAGCCTTTGCAGACCATTTACATGCACTAACATCTATAGAACACGCTACAGGGAAGCAGAATACGGCCCTTAAATACTTCAGCATACTTTTACAGTCTAGTTCCCTGTAGTATCAGTTAGTGTTTACAGTCTAGTTCCCTGTAGTATCAGCGTGTGTTTACAGTCTAGTTCCCTGTAGTATCAGCGTGTGTTTACAGTCTAGTTCCCTGTAGTGTCAGCATGTGTTTACAGTCTAGTTCCCTGTAGTATCAGCGTGTGTTTACAGTCTAGTTCCCTGTAGTGTCAGCATGTGTTTACAGTCTAGTTCCCTGTAGTGTCAGCATGTGTTTACAGTCTAGTTCCCTGTAGTGTCAGCGTGTGTTTACAGTCTAGTTCCCTGTAGTGTCAGCATGTGTTTACAGTCTAGTTCCCTATAGTGTCAGCATGTGTTTACAGTCTAGTTCCCTGTAGTATCAGCGTGTGTTTACAGTCTAGTTCCCTGTAGTGTCAGCATGTGTTTACAGTCTAGTTCCCTGTAGTGTCAGCATGTGTTTACAGTCTAGTTCCCTGTAGTGTCAGCGTGTGTTTACAGTCTAGTTCCCTGTAGTATCAGTTAGTGTTTACAGTCTAGTTCCCTGTAGTATCAGCGTGTGTTTACAGTCTAGTTCCCTGTAGTGTCAGCATGTGTTTACAGTCTAGTTCCCTGTAGTGTCAGCATGTGTTTACAGTCTAGTTCCCTGTAGTGTCAGCGTGTGTTTACAGTCTAGTTCCCTGTAGTATCAGCATGTGTTTACAGTCTAGTTCCCTGTAGTGTCAGCATGTGTTTACAGTCTAGTTCCCTGTAGTGTCAGCGTGTGTTTACAGTCTAGTTCCCTGTAGTGTCAGCGTGTGTTTACAGTTTGTTTCCTTTAGTGTCAGCATGTGTTTACAGTCTAGTTCCCTGTAGTGTCAGCATGTGTTTACAGTCTAGTTCCCTGTAGTGTCAGCGTGTGTTTACAGTCTAGTTCCCTATAGTGTCAGCGTGTGTTTACAGTCTAGTTCCCTGTAGTGTCAGCGTGTGTTTACAGTCTAGTTCCCTTTAGTGTCAGCATGTGTTTACAGTTTGTTTCCTTTAGTGTCAGCATGTGTTTACAGTCTAGTTCCCTATAGTGTCAGCATGTGTTTACAGTCTAGTTCCCTGTAGTGTCAGCATGTGTTTACAGTCTAGTTCCCTATAGTGTCAGCATGTGTTTACAGTCTAGTTCCCTATAGTGTCAGCATGTGTTTACAGTCTAGTTCCCTGTAGTGTCAGCGTGTGTTTACAGTCTAGTTCCCTGTAGTGTCAGCATGTGTTTACAGTATAGTTCCCTGTAGTGTCAGCATGTGTTTACAGTCTAGTTCCCTATAGTGTCAGCATGTGTTTACAGTCTAGTTCCCTGTAGTGTCAGCGTGTGTTTACAGTCTAGTTCCCTGTAGTGTCAGCATGTGTTTACAGTCTAGTTCCCTGTAGTGTCAGCATGTGTTTACAGTCTAGTTCCCTGTAGTGTCAGCATGTGTTTACAGTCTAGTTCCCTGTAGTGTCAGCATGTGTTTACAGTCTAGTTCCCTGTAGTGTCAGCGTGTGTTTACAGTCTAGTTCCCTGTAGTATCAGCGTGTGTTTACAGTCTAGTTCCCTGTAGTGTCAGCATGTGTTTACAGTCTAGTTCCCTGTTGTGTCAGCATGTGTTTACAGTCTAGTTCCCTGTAGTGTCAGCATGTGTTTACAGTCTAGTTCCCTGTAGTGTCAGCATGTGTTTACAGTCTAGTTCCCTGTAGTGTCAGCGTGTGTTTACAGTCTAGTTCCCTATAGTGTCAGCATGTGTTTACAGTCTAGTTCCCTGTAGTGTCAGCATGTGTTTACAGTATGTTCCCTGTCCTCTGTCTACAGCTGATCCCGATGCCGGTCCTGTACGGAGTCTTCCTCTACATGGGCGTGTCCTCGCTCAAAGGCATCCAGGTCTGTCCGTCCTGCTGCATCATTACATAACTTAGCATTTAGTCAGCAGGCTTTCAACCACCAAAAACAAACTGAAGAGCAAGAGTCCTGCAGGTGCATTAGCGATCAATAGGACGTTGGAGAAATTAAAAGACTAGAAATAAACAATCCAAAATGTAAACGTCTCAAATATAAATAAATACGTGTGTGTGCATCCTGCAGCTGTTTGACCGCATCAAGCTGTTCTGCATGCCGGCCAAACACCAGTCGGACCTGATCTACCTGCGCTACGTGCCTCTGTGGAAGGTGCACGTGTTCACCTGTGTGCAGCTCACCTGCCTCATCGTCCTCTGGACCATCAAAGCCTCGGCCGCCGCCGTCGTCTTCCCCATGATGGTGAGAGGAAGCCTTTTGTCACACTTTCACACACCCAAAATGAAAAGAATCCTCAAATAAAGAGTATTTTTTGTCCACATTTTTACATTATTTTTCTATTTTATTTTCAAATGCAGCAACTGTCATAAAAACAGTATCCCTATAAAGTTTTGGGGGATTTTGAATGCAGGACCTTTACTGGTAACAGAGTATTTATACACTGCCGTAAATCTAAAGCTTTCACCTAAGTACATTATCTGAGTACTTCTTCTGCCTCTTCTTCTGCAGGTCCTGGCTCTGGTGTTTATCCGGAAGCTTCTGGACTTCTGCTTCACAAAGAGAGAGCTGAGCTGGCTGGACGACCTGATCCCGGAGAGCAAGAAGAAGAAGGAGGACGACAAGAAGAAGAGGGAGAAGGAGGTGAGAAATACAATAAATCCACACCATTACAAATCAGAAAGGATACCCTGTCTGTCTACCTAGGTTATATGTTTAGATATTTACAAGGCTCAGTTTATAATAACTCACGGACAGAAGGGGAGATTTTCTGAAGAATTCAGAATTTTGAGATTTTCAGGAAAATTATTAATTTTAAGAATTTCAAAATAAAGTATGAATTTTGAAAATTTTGAAATAAAGTTTGAATTTTGAAAAATAAGTAAGAATTTTGCGATTTTCAGAATATTCAAGTTTTAAGGTAAACTTAAAAAAAATTATCTTGAGAAAAAAAGGGAACATTTTCAGAAGTCTGAATTTTGAGATTATAAAAATAAAGTATGAATTTTGAGGATTTCAAAATAAAGTATGAATTTTGAAAATAGGTCAGAATTTTGTGATTTTCAGAAAATCCCAATTTTCAGGAAAACGTATTGAAAAAAGGTTTCAAAAAAAACAAAGTCAGAATTTTGAGATTCTCAAAGTCAGAATTGAAGAAAAAATACCACATTTTGTGTGTGTGTGTGTGTGTGTGTGTGTGATTGTGATGTGTGTGTGGGTGTGTGTGTGTGTGTGTGTGTGTGTGTGTGTGTGTGTGTGTGTGTGTGTGTGTGTGTGTGTGTGTGTGTGTGTGTGTGTGTGTGTGTGTGTGTGTGTGTGTTGTGTGTGTGTGTGTGTGTGTGTGTGTGTGTTGTGTGTGTGTGTGTGGTGTGTGTGTGTGTGTTGTGTGTGTGTGTGTGTGTGTGTTGTGTGTGTGTGTGTGTGTGTGTGTGTGTGTGTGTGTGTGTGTGTGTGTGTGTGTGTGTGTGTGTGTGTGTGTGTGTGTGTGTGTGTGTTTCTCTCTGCAGGACGCTGAGAGGAGGATGATGGAGGAGGTGGATGACGATGCTCCGTACGACATCAGCTTCCCGATTCAAGCCCTGAAGGGACGGTGAGTCTAACATCACTATGATCCGTGTAAATACACTGCAGCACAGATCATATATTGTGTGTGTATATATATATGTGTGTGTGTGTGTGTGTGTGTGCAGTGCGGACCCCTCGGAGGTGAACATCTCAGATGAAATGTCTAAGAGTGGGATCTGGAGGTCGATGAACTCTGACAGCGGCAGAGCTCTGAAACGCTGCAGCAGGTGAGAGAAATGTCATAAAAACACATTATTATTTTAAAGTTCTTCACTCACTTATTAATGCTCGTTTATTCCCCATCGTTTCATTATCCTCCAAAGCAGCTGTTTTAGCCCCGAAACATTTAAATTAAGAACTGGTTTCATGAATGTTGCTTAATTTTGTTATGAAAGAAAAGAAAAGATGTAAAAATAATAATCTAAACGTAAGAAATGTAAGAATATTGAATAATAATAAAAGATCAAATCCAAGCCCTTACATCACCGGCTGTATACACATTTATAAGAACTGACAGTTTGGAAGCATGTAAAGTAGATTTAATAATAAAATGTCATCACATGAAACACTACAATTCAGAATTTTGATTGAGGATTTAAAACATTTTCTAAATTTGACAACAGACGTTTGAAGCCCTCAAAAGATGTCTTAAAGAAATATTATGATCAGCTAGTATATATGAGATCAAACTGAATTATTTCGACATTTAACATAAATTAACAAAAGTTGCTGTTGTGTTGCAGTCAGGAGAAGCTGCCGAGCGTCCAGATCAGCGTGGAGAACGAGGACGGGCGCAGAGTCATGGACGCTGAGACCCCGTTATGATGCAGCGCCTCCTTATGATGCCTCGTTATGACGCAGCGCCTCGTTATGACGCACCTCGTTATTACGCCTCGTTATGACGCACCTCGTTATGACGCAGCGCCTCGTTATGACGCAGCGCCTCGTTATGACGCAGCGCCTCGTTATGACGCAGCGTCTCGTTATGACGCAGGAGGACGGGGGCACCAATCACTGAGGTCAAAAGTCTGGGGGGAACAGCCAATCATGCTTCACCTCACCTCACCGTGCGTTTTCTCTAACGAGGTGAATTTTTTATATTGTCATCGTTTTAAGATGAGACCCCAGGAGCCAAAATGGCCGCCGACTTAAGAAACAGCTTCCTCAGTTTCTTTGGTCAGATTTAAAAAAACAACTGAATTATAATTGTAATCGTTTTTTAATTGTTTTGACAAGGCTCTTCACCTCAGACCTATTTAATTTAATCCATCATGCTGATTGTGTGTCTGTGTGTCTGTGCATGTGTGTGTTTGTTCACCGTTGTGCCTGAATGACGTCACTGCGTATTGACATTTTAATAAATTCGGTTTGGTGACGACCAACAGATCTGACCCATTATTTATTAAAATACATCACATTTCAGGTTAATGAGACACTCAAACACACACACACACACATACCATGTATACATCACTTCAGGGGACATTACATTGACTTACATGCATTTCCTGGAGACTTATCCTAACCTGAACCATAACCAACACGTGCCTAACCCTAACCCTAACCCTTACCCTAGTCAAGTCTTCACCCTAAAATGAATGATTCCCCTCATGGGGACCTCCATTAGGTCCCCATGAGGATGGTAATGCTAGGCCACACACACACACAGACACACACACACACACACAGTTTGCCATCAGGAGCACCTCAGGGTTCAGTATCAGGCCCAAAGACACATCAACATGTTGGCTGTACGGGCTGGGATCGAACCAACAACCTTCTGGTTGAAAGACGACGCACTCCCTCTCAATGGTGTCCGGTGGCTTTGAAAACTTTGTGAATAGCGATTCATTTACTCAGAAAAACCACCTGAAGGCAGCATTCGGTCACTTATTGGAGCACGTTGCTGTCCTCAGAATCAGAATCAGGTTTATCACCAGTTAGTTTAACACGTACGAGGAATTTGACTTGATGTCGTGGTGCATAAATTAAAGTAAAACAAAAATGTAAAACACAGATAGAGAACTATTTTAAGAAAAGTATAATAACATTAAAACATATATAGCAAAAAGTCAAATTCTGAGAAAAAGTCAAATTCTTAAAAACATCTAATTCTGAGTAATAAGCGAAATTTCGAGTACGAAAATCTAATTCTGAGGAAGAAAAAACAATTCGGACATAAAAGTCAAATATCGAGTAAAAAATACTAATTCTGACAAAAAAACTAATTTTAAGAAAAAAATCTAATTCTGAGGAAAAAAAGTCAAATTTCGAATAAAAAAAGTCAAATTTTAAGAAAAAAAGTCAAATTTCGGATAAAAAAAGTCAAATTTTAAGAAAAAAAGTCAAATTTCGAATAAAAAAATCAATTTCTGACAAAAAAAGTATTCTAGTAATTTCCTCTAAACTCACCAGAGGTAAGCATGACGCCTCTTTTCAGAATCAGGTTTATCACCAGGTAGGTTGACACATACGAGCAATTTGACTTGCTGTCATGGTGAAAACTAAAATTAAAAACACAGATAGAACACTATTTTAAGAAAACTATAATAACATTAAAAAATAATAAAACATATAGCTGTATTTACATTGAAATAGAATGGAATAAAATACGTGCAGTAATTAAAAAAGGCTGTCACGTGAACTCAGTGAATGCACCTTGAACTCAGCTGTGCATTTATGATGCTTTGGAATCATTGAGCTCTACTATCTTTTCAAATCTGCCTTCAAGGTTGTTCGCTATGGGCTCATTTTCCTTAACGGAGTCCACTAACACTTGTCTGCTTGGAAATACTAACGACAAGTGGACGACGGAAGAAATCCTTATGTAAAGATAGAAACTAAATTAACATATCAATTTCAAATCCAACAAAATGCTTCCTGAAGTAAAAACACCAACGACACATTCGCAGGTCATCAATGACACGTTATCTCATCTGATAAAAACTCTGTTTGAAATATCCAAACTGATCAGAGGTCCGGGCATGAGGAAAACATGAAGGATGTATGTAGTGTCTCTACTTTAAAGAGTCCTCTCCTGATGATGTTCAGGTGTATATCAGTATGTAGTGTCTCTACTTTAAAGAGTCCTCTCCTGCTGATGTTCAGGTGTATATCAGTATGTAGTGTCTCTACTTTAAAGAGTCCTCTCCTGCTGATGTTCAGGTGTATATCAGTATGTAGTGTCTCTACTTTAAAGAGTCCTCTCCTGCTGATGTTCAGGTGTATATCAGTATGTGGTGTCTCTACTTTAAAGAGTCCTCTCCTGCTGATGTTCAGGTGTATATCAGTATGTAGTGTCTCTACTTTAAAGAGTCCTCTCCTGCTGATGTTCAGGTGTATATCAGTATGTAGTGTCTCTACTTTAAAGAGTCCTCTCCTGTTGATGTTCAGGTGTATATCAGTATGTAGTGTCTCTACTTTAAAGAGTCCTCTCCTGCTGATGTTCAGGTGTATATCAGTATGTAGTTTCTCTACTTTAAAGAGTCCTCTCCTGCTGGTGTTCAGGTGTATATCAGTATGTAGAGTCTCTTCTTTAAAGAGTCCTCTCCTGCTGATGTTCAGGTGTATATCAGTATGTAGTGTCTCTACTTTAAAGAGTCCTCTCCTGCTGATGTTCAGGTGTATATCAGTATGTAGTGTCTCTACTTTAAAGAGTCCTCTCCTGCTGATGTTCAGGTGTATATCAGTATGCAGTGTCTCTACTTTAAAGAGTCCTCTCCTGATGATGTTCAGGTGTATATCAGTATGAAGTGTCTCTACTTTAAAGAGTCCTCTCCTGCTGATGTTCAGGTGAAAATCAGTATGTAGTGTCTCTACTTTAAAGAGTCCTCTCCTGCTGATGTTCAGGTGTATATCAGTATGTAGTGTCTCTACTTTAAAGAGTCCTCTCCTGCTGATGTTCAGGTGTATATCAGTGTGTAGTGTCTCTACTTTAAAGAGTCCTCTCCTGCTGATGTTCAGGTGTATATCAGTATGTAGTGTCTCTACTTTAAAGAGTCCTCTCTTGCTGATGTTCAGGTGTATATCAGTATGTAGTGTCTCTACTTTAAAGAGTCCTCTCTTGCTGATGTTCAGGTGTATATCAGTATGTAGTGTCTCTACTTTAAAGAGTCCTCTCCTGCTGATGTTCAGGTGTATATCAGTATGTAGTGTCTCTACTTTAAAGAGTCCTCTCCTGCTGATGTTCAGGTGTATATCAGTATGTAGTGTCTCTACTTTAAAGAGTCCTCTCCTGCTGATGTTCAGGTGTATATCAGTATGTAGTGTCTCTACTTTAAAGAGTCCTCTCCTGCTGATGTTCAGGTGTATATCAGTATGTAGTGTCTCTACTTTAAAGAGTCCTCTCTTGCTGATGTTCAGGTGTATATCAGTATGTAGTGTCTCTACTTTAAAGAGTCCTCTCCTGCTGATGTTCAGGTGTATATCAGTATGTAGTGTCTCTACTTTAAAGAGTCCTCTCTTGCTGATGTTCAGGTGTATATCAGTATGTAGTGTCTCTACTTTAAAGAGTCCTCTCCTGCTGATGTTCAGGTGTATATCAGTATGTAGTGTCTCTACTTTAAAGAGTCCTCTCCTGCTGATGTTCAGGTGTATATCAGTATGTAGTGTCTCTACTGGGACATGTCTCCATGCTTTAAGGTTCAAAAAGCTCTTTATTTTTACGGCCTGCCACGTACAATGTGTTGGAGAGCTAGCCAATAAGAGCGTGTTTCATTGTGATGTCACTTTGTTACTTTGACCCTTGGTAAACATTATTCTTTAATGGTATTTATTCACAAAATGAAAAGTCATGAAAATCAATAAGTCTTAACATTTATTTGAATATGCATAGCGCTGACATTAACACTGACAGTGACTAACTAACTGCAGAACATTACGAGCAGGACAATACAATAAAAAAGCAAACGTGGTTATTGTGCATAAATATGAATATGAAAGTGTTAGATCAGAGAGAGCGAGCAGAGCAGCGTCAGCAGCAGAGCGACGGACACATGATATCTCTGGGACCCTGAAACAGAAACACAAAGGAGTTATACTGGCTCATAATGGTAGTAACAGACATGCACACCTGGAGTGGAGTGCACCAGCTGGGCGTAACTCTACGTCCGACGCAGAACCGAAGGTTAAGACCAAACTAAAGTTATGACTAGCGCACCACTTAGACTGAAGCCCTCTAAGCGTTGCGCCTGGGTGTAACTTTTATGCCTAGTATGGTGCAGGTGTAAATCGTATCCATGGTAATGTAAAACAGGCAAGAAGGAAAATAACGATGGCAGTGCGTCTTGTTTACAGGTTTAACAACGAAAGGGCATTCAGAAGAGAAAGAGTCGTCTGTGATGGAACAAACCCACTGGACATCTACTCAGTGAGCTGATAGAGGTTTCGTTTCGGCAGACAAGCCCTTTATGAATTAATCGAGGAGATCTCCCCTCAACTCCAGCACGGGTCAGACAGAAACGCAGCGCTCGCCCCAACCTTGCAGGCGCTGATTGCGCTCAGATTTCACGCTAACGGGCTGCTTTGAATTAGGGCTTCTATCACCTTCTATCATGGGCCACTTCTGATTTGTTAACAATGGCTGGTACATGAGGAGCACAGCACTTCTGATTGGTGTGGAAAAAAAAAAAAATAATGTAAAAAAAGAAAATAATGTTAGAAAAATGTTTAAAAAAATCGCAGGCTTTGCAATTTGATAATCGCATCATTTAAAATCGCGATTTCTATTTAAAATCGATTCATCGTTCAGCCCTACTTTGAATGGAGAAGTTTGTGTGTTAAATTATGTAGACGTGTGTTGCTTGGCAACAATTACTGTTTTGCGTGTATTGACGTGGACGCGCATCTTAAGACGAGGCGGAGCTACGACCGTGACGAGTCAGGCCTGGTTCACTCGGTGTGAATTCGAATCACCAAGTCGGATGTAGCTAAGCCCGACGCTAGAGTTAAGACCTACTTTTTTACGCCCAGCTGGTGCACTCCACTCCATCATCAAGACCAGTGTTGGGAGTAACACTGCACTCCACTCCATCAAGACCAGTGTTGGGAGTAACACTGCACTCCACTCCATCATCAAGACCAGTGTTGGGAGTAACACTGCATTTTTATACCTTGAACTCTTTTTATTTTTTTATTTTGCTTCTCTTTATTATAATTATTATTATTATCATTGTTTGTTTGGTTTCTAACATGTTCAATAAATTGAATAAAATCTAAAACGTGACGGACCTCCGTGCAGCAGCAGCTTCTCCGTGACGCTCAGAGAGCCGTTGTGCGGTGCCGGATCGATCTGAAGCACTTTGCACATCAGAGGGTAGATGTGGATGCTGTCGAATGGCTCCGACAGGAAGTTCTTCTTGAAGTCGGGTCCGACAGCCCAGAAGA